TTTAATAAGATTCATTAAGTATTTTGGCTAATATATGGGATGAACGAATCCGTAATTCCCGGCCGGCCGATAGGCGTCTCCACCATGTCGCCTGTCGACCTTTAAAAAAAAGCATCGATTCGGAAATAATCGATACAAAATAAAATCGATGTTTCAAAATCGATATTTTGCCAAATAAATCGATTTTAATCGATTCTTTTTTATGCAGGACAATGCGCGCCTAATTTAAATAGCTGCAACTAAAAGGAGAAAAAAACCGGCAAAAAATTAATAAAAAATTAAGTAAAGTATTATTTTGCTTTTATTAATATCCCTATTTTTTATTATTTTACTTTTTATTTATGTATATACAAAATTGAGCATGGAATATTGATGTTCCTGGTAATGGTTTGAATGCTGTATGATTTATAATTTTATCTTGTTTCTCTTAAGCGGGGAGCACACACTTTTGCATAAGCGCATAAGCGTAAGCATAAGAATCTTGATTGGTCTATAAACGTATGCACAAGAAATTCAACCAATCGAATTTCTTATGCATATGCTTATGCGCTTATGCAAGAGTGTGTGCTTCCCGCTTTATGATTCCAGAGTTGTATCTGCCTCCTTCAAATACATACCTATACAAAGAAAATATTTATTAGTTCTATCAGAGAGAAAGATGAGAGCGGCCAGGCCGGCGTTTTGGCTGTTACCGTTTTTACGGGACTGCTTGAAGCGCCCCTCGCACCCGTTTTTAATATCGGAACTAACTGCACACCCATTTTCTGGCAGGGTCGATAAAGTTTGTATTTGGTGCGAGTCCGTGCTACGCCCATAATTTTCGTGTTAACACAGTATCACGTATTCATTCTGTATATGTGCGATCTTTTCTCTTTATTTATATATATATATATATATATATATGTATTTATATAATTTGTATAAAAACTAAAATATAATTATTAAAATATATATATATATGTATATGTGTAATGAAATATATAAATCTTATTTTAATTAAAATAAAACAAACGATTAATTGTTCGACCACCTGGATTTTGGAATGTAATTTTTAATATATATTATATTATATTTAATATTTATCGCCGCTTCTATTAATATGAAGTGCAATGTCAACGTGCAATAATGTACAATTATTTAAAGTTTCCATGCCTAATGTATCATGCCGGTATAAAAGAACGTCAAGTAGCATGCGTAGCCGAGCAACTAAGATGACGAGCTGAAATCGTGGACATTTCAAGTTCAAACCCCTGCCTTTTTCAGATTTTTTTTTCACTTTTTTCAAATAAGTTATTATGTGTATAAATGTGTAATAATCAATATATCATTATTTGATAATTTTTTTTGTAATGGAACAAAATAAATTATTTTTTAATTCTGCAAGGAATTTAATTATTAATGCAAACGCCCACACACATAATTTAGATATTCAATTTTTTTTAGTTCAAATGTTTCTTGCAATCTGTATACGACAATCAGTCCACTCGCTGTGCCACAGATTGCATCGCATAATACGCTCAGAGTTATAATACGATAGAGATCGCTTTACGCTGTTTTTCCTTGAAATAAATAAATTTTACGTGTTGTGTACGCGTGTTTAGTATATTTGTTTCTTTCATATTAATTTTAACTATAATTAGTTTTTTAATTAAGATTATTTTAGTGTTAGTTGTTTATTTGTTAGTGTCCTGTTTTCTTTAATTTCGCATTTTTTAATTTTCTTTTTTTTTGGTGTTGGTGCTAATTATTATTTTTATTTTACAATGTCGAGTAAACACCGGTTTTACGATAAATGTGTGTATTTAAATTGCACAAATATTAGGACAAAAGATGGAAAACGTTTATTTCGATTTCCATTACAAACGGGTGCGAGACATGATTTATGGTTACGCAATAGTGGTGAGTTTATAAAATTGATTTACTTATTTATATCAATATATAATATATATTGATATGATATATGAAACAAATATATATATATATTCTTTGTTTTTTTTAATAAAATATGTCAGATATTATGTATGTTTACGTATGGATTACGTTGAAGTGTTTCTTTGCCGCGTTTTTCTGATCTCGCCGAACGGTTCGCGAATCCTGTGCGAATAAAAAACGATGCGCGTGTGTGTGTGCGTGCGATTGTGATGATCAGTTTCAGTTCGTCTTCAACGCTTGACGAGAGAAGAGGTCCCGAACTGCTGTAAGTTTATAAAAACATATTTTTGTATAACACATTAGAACGATTTTATATTATTTTTTTTGTCTAGAAAACGTTATATTAATAACCGTTATGAAAACGATCTCGACGACGGTCGTCACCGGCATCGTCGCCGTCGTCGAGATCGTTTTCATAACGGTTATTAATATAACGTTTTCTAGACAAAAAAAATAATATAAAATCGTTCTAATGTGTTATACAAAAATATGTTTTTATAAACTTACAGCAGTTCGGGACCTCTTCTCTCGTCAAGCGTTGAAGACGAACTGAAACTGATCATCACAATCGCACGCACACACACACGCGCATCGTTTTTTATTCGCACAGGATTCGCGAACCGTTCGGCGAGATCAGAAAAACGCGGCAAAGAAACACTTCAACGTAATCCATACGTAAACATACATAATATCTGACATATTTTATTAAAAAAAACAAAGAATATATATATATATTTGTTTCATATATCATATCAATATATATTATATATTGATATAAATAAGTAAATCAATTTTATAAACTCACCACTATTGCGTAACCATAAATCATGTCTCGCACCCGTTTGTAATGGAAATCGAAATAAACGTTTTCCATCTTTTGTCCTAATATTTGTGCAATTTAAATACACACATTTATCGTAAAACCGGTGTTTACTCGACATTGTAAAATAAAAATAATAATTAGCACCAACACCAAAAAAAAAAGAAAATTAAAAAATGCGAAATTAAAGAAAACAGGACACTAACAAATAAACAACTAACACTAAAATAATCTTAATTAAAAAACTAATTATAGTTAAAATTAATATGAAAGAAACAAATATACTAAACACGCGTACACAACACGTAAAATTTATTTATTTCAAGGAAAAACAGCGTAAAGCGATCTCTATCGTATTATAACTCTGAGCGTATTATGCGATGCAATCTGTGGCACAGCGAGTGGACTGATTGTCGTATACAGATTGCAAGAAACATTTGAACTAAAAAAAATTGAATATCTAAATTATGTGTGTGGGCGTTTGCATTAATAATTAAATTCCTTGCAGAATTAAAAAATAATTTATTTTGTTCCATTACAAAAAAAATTATCAAATAATGATATATTGATTATTACACATTTATACACATAATAACTTATTTGAAAAAAGTGAAAAAAAAATCTGAAAAAGGCAGGGGTTTGAACTTGAAATGTCCACGATTTCAGCTCGTCATCTTAGTTGCTCGGCTACGCATGCTACTTGACGTTCTTTTATACCGGCATGATACATTAGGCATGGAAACTTTAAATAATTGTACATTATTGCACGTTGACATTGCACTTCATATTAATAGAAGCGGCGATAAATATTAAATATAATATAATATATATTAAAAATTACATTCCAAAATCCAGGTGGTCGAACAATTAATCGTTTGTTTATTTTAATTAAAATAAGATTTATATATTTCATTACACATATACATATATATATATATTTTAATAATTATATTTTAGTTTTTATACAAATTATATAAATACATATATATATATATATATATATATATATAAAGAGAAAAGATCGCACATATACAGAATGAATACGTGATACTGTGTTAACACGAAAATTATGGGCGTAGCACGGACTCGCACCAAATACAAACTTTATCGACCCTGCCAGAAAATGGGTGTGCAGTTAGTTCCGATATTAAAAACGGGTGCGAGGGGCGCTTCAAGCAGTCCCGTAAAAACGGTAACAGCCAAAACGCAGGGCCTGGCCGCTCTCATCTTTCTCTCTGGTTCTATGTTCATAAAAAAAGATAACCGAATAAAAATAGTACAATGAGAGTAAAGGTAGAAGCTTGAGAAACAGGTTATAATTATTAAAAACCCAAGAAATTTGATATATTATGCTATATTATTAATTCCTGTAAACATATTACACATCTTGTACATAATTTTATGTACAGTAAGAACACATGCTTCTTATTTCGCGAAGTAAAGGAAACATCGATGTTATTTTTTAATAATCGATTGTTACTCGATGTATCGATCAGCAAAAACATCGATTAAAATAATCGATGTTGTAATAAAAAGCATCGATTTTCTAAACATCGAGTGAACATTGCCCTCCACTACTCCGGCAAACGAGCCGAGAGAGCCGACACTCTCCTTCGAGAAGTGTATATGGTCAGACGAGTCTTTGTACACGGGAGTCTTTTGAATAAAACAGTCTTTGTTCTATTATAAGTAGCTTAAATATATCTATTGTGGCACTCAGATATCCTCGTCTCCTATCCTTCGCATATCCGCGCCTTCGCGGTTACGGTTCGAATAAATATATAACGGTCATTTCATAGATTCTTAAATATAGACTTTATTTCAATGTTAAATAAAGGTTTTTATAAAACATTTATAAAATATTTATATAATAATATTTGAAAAAATATATATTCACAAATATTTATGAATCTTTATCATAAATATATTGTGTCTGGGGTAGATTTAGAGGTTAGATATATAAAATAAGTATTATATATTCTTCCTGCATTATATAAAAAATCAAAAAATTCTTTTGAGAAATTTAAAACTTAATAATAAACGAAAATAAATTTTGTCCAATATTTTATTACACATAATTTTTTATATAAAAAAAATCGCTCACATACATATAACTTCTCTTCCCCATTTCTCCGTCTCTCTCATTTCCGGTTTCCCTCATCGGTTCCAGCCAATCAGAGCCGATTCTCAAGAAAACAGTCCCGTGGCGGCATCTAGCGGCGAAGTGTCGAATTTCCACCTGAACAAAGAAAGGCGAAAAAAGCGAAGCCCACTACCCAACACAACTACACTGACTAGGCCCGTAAAGCGAGAGAAGTACGTAACGAGCGGATGTAGCAGGCGCGACAGTCGCCAAGCCAGAGCCTATCCGCAAAGGAAGAGCCACGGTGTGACGTAAACGAGACAATCCAAACAAGTATCAGCTGTGTGCTCCCCGTAGTCATTGTTCTTCTCTTTAGGCTCCGCGTCCAGATTCTGGCCGAAGGGGCTCCGTTCTCGGACTCTTCCGATCGAGTCGAGCGCAAGAGACGAATCAGCTGGGCCAAGTCAGAGCGAGCAGGTCGAGTCCGCAGTGACAGTTCCCAGCTGACGCGGAGAAGACAGAGCGCGAGCGAGCAAGCGAGAGAGCAAAGGAGGAGAGAAAGAGAGAGAAAGGAAGAAAGAGACGAGTCTCGAGGTGCGCTTTAAAATCGACGTGTGTGGCGAGCTATTGCGAGAGGCCAGTCGACCTTTTTTTCGCCCGAAAAAAAGGAGGGAAAAAAAATCGAGCAACCGTGGCTGCTTCTCGGCCGCCCCAGCCACCACCTCCGGCCGCCACCTTCAAACGTCAACCGACGACACCATCGCTCTCACCCCGAGGGACAATAATCGTGTGAAAAACGGGGCGGTACGCGCATAAGCCTGGCCTCGAGCAGCGAGTCGGACGACGGTGGACTCGCTCCGCCACCGCGCAAAAGGTCCCGTAGTTCCCTACCGGCTACCCTAAGACCAGCGGACGAGCAGCACTCCTCCAGTCCGGACATGGATAACTATCGGTAATCTCTTTTCTCCCTCTAAGGAATTTTTCCATTTTTTTTTTTACATTTTTTTCCGTGTTTTTGTAGTTTTTAACGTTCCTGGAATTTTCCTAATTTTATTTTCTCTCGATTTAATATATATAATTTCTATTTTTAATATATATTTAAATAATTTATTTTATATTTTAGTATTTATTTGTAAATAAATATTAAATAATTATAAAATAAAAATATAAATAATTTGTATATAAAATGTTAAATAATTTATTTGCTATAAATAATTTTGTTTTTTATTTATTTTATATTGATTTATTAATATTGTGATCTACTTGAAAACTGTTAAAGAAACTTAAATTGTTGCGAGAAATATGGGTATACATTGATATACCTCTGAATTAATAATATAGTCAATGTCATCATGGATGATATTTCAGTGTACACGACAGCATAATGCAACAGCAGGCTTCGAATGGCGGTGTATCTTCTGGATTACAACAAAATGGAGCTAAAGCGGACTCCGGTGGACTTCATGCCAATGGCAACCTGCTACCAGACTCAGATAACGATGTTAATGGTATGAACGGGGAAATAAATCAGAGTCTAGGACCTCCCAAGATAATGGACAAAACTAATCAAGACATTGTGAGACTTATCGGACAACATTTAAAGACAGTTGGTTTGGAGTATGTATTGTTATTTAATTTATCCATATTTTTTAAGCCATCGGTCTCATTATTTAATAATGAGAAGCAATTTGGTCTCTATCAGGAAATTATAATTACATTTATTAATTATATATTTTATCGGACTATACATTGACACACTGACCCAGTTATTATATATTTATTTTATAATATTTATATAGTTCTTCATAAATTTATTAATATCACCTTCAAAAAAATTTTGCATGAATTTTTAACAAGAATTATATAATCAACAATTATACAGAAGAGATGTAGTTTGTAACTAACAATAAATAAGGAGAGAAATATATTTTTTTTTTAGTCGTACAGCAGATCTGCTTATGCAAGAATCAGGTTGTCGACTAGATCATCCTGCCGCAGCAAAGTTTAGACAGCACGTTATGGATGGCGATTGGAATAAAACAGATCATGACCTCAATGAACTCAAGTCCTTCTTAAATAGTGCGCACCAGAGTTTAGTGGTAAATCTTTACAATATAATTAATAATTACTATAATACAAGGTGCTTTTTTAAAGTGTTTAGTTTGAACTTGATTTATATATTCTATTATTCAATGATAGAAAAAACTATAAGAATATGGAAATATATTTTTTTCAAGTCAGATATTAAAAACAATTATAAATTAACGTAAAGATCTCGACAGTGAAATATTGCTCAAATAATGAAATATATATAATGCAAAAATTATAATTTTTTGGAAGATTTGTTTGTATATTTTTTTTTATAAAAAATTATAAAATAAAAAAAATTTTCTTTTTAATAACTTTATATTTACAATTGGATATTCGAACTCACAGCTTAAAATAAAAATATAATTTTAGTTTAGAATAGGATTATTAATATATAATATAATATATAATATTAATATTTTAATATATTAATATATAATATTAATATTATATGTATATAATATATATTATATGTATATAAATATATATTATATAATATCAATATATAATAATATTTATACGTTTCTAATTTATAATAAAATATTTAGATTATAATATATATTAATATATAATATTTTATATTGATTCTATTAAATAATGATGAAAAAACAGATAATAAGAAGAAAATGCATAAAAGAGAAAGAAAGTATAATTTTTAAGAAATGTAATCGAAAAAGATAGCATTTTTTATGAATGCAATTAATAAATATACAAACAATTTAATTGATATTCTCTTCTTATTCATAGGAAATGAAGTTCTTACTGCTAGAACAAAAATATTTAGAATATTTGGAAGAAGGTATGGTATTCGATGCGTTACATGTACTACGCAATGAGCTTACACCTCTGGGCCATAATACTGGTCGTGTTCATCAGTTATCTTTATTTATGATGTGCAGTGGACGAGATGAATTACAGGTATTTTGTCCTATTCGCTTCAAATAACAGACCCGCATGATAGCACACAGCGTAATAAACAACATTAACAACGTTTTACATTAATAAGTCTCTACGAAAATTGAAGCTTTGTCAGTCATGAGATATATCTTTGAAACTAACTTACAACTGAAAATTTGATCACTAGCAAATGGACACTTGTTGACAGACACGTGCAGGCTGGGATGGCAAAGGGCCAGCCTCCAGGGCTGCGCTTATGGACAGACTACAAAGATACCTGCCACCCTCCATTATGTTACCACCACGCAGGCTTCATTCTTTACTCTGTCAAGCTGTGGAAATGCAAAACCAACTCTGCACGTATCATATAACGCATACACAGGTATATTAATGAGTCGCATTGCAATTTTAATTAAGCAGCTCGATAAGAAGAAATTTTTGTCAAGTTACTAATCAGAATAAATGTTTCTTTTATATATATATATATATATATTATATGAATAATTACTAAATTTATTTCAATATTAATCAGAATTTTCACAATACAATGTAATTAAATATTATATTGTGAAAATTTTAAGAAAAATTAACGAATGTTTTTGAAAATTATGCTGATAAATTTGTGGAATATTATTTTATTTTAAAATTTACAGAATTTTATTAAAAGTTGTGTTATTTTCAAATATTATTTTTTACTAAAATTTATTAAAATATTGATAAAAAGTTCTATTAATGAAATTATTGGATATTATATATATATATATATATATATATATATCATATATATATATCTTCTAAAATTGAACAAATAAGTGCAAAAAATATATGAAGAATTTTTAATTATATAATTTGTAACATATTATTCTAATATTGATTGTTTTCCCAGATTTACATTGAAATTTTCTTTTATAATAATTTTTTTATGAGTAATTAATATTGAAAATATTTGACATATATTTGAAAAATTTATATATATTATGCAAAAATCTTCTACTATTAACTATAAATGAAATTTAATGTGTATATATATATATAAATTTTAAAAATGTTTAAAAATGATACAATTCTAAAATTGGAACAAATTTTTCAGAATCAAAGAAACGTTATTAAATCTTATTATGAGAAAATATTTTCTTAATTTTTGTTTTAATAAGGCACATTAAAATTTTGACATTTTAATAGCAAAAATGTGTTTTGTTAATGTGAATATATTTATTATAATATATATTTCTTCCTCTAAATTGCTAATTTCTTGTCTTAAAATTCAAAATACTTTTAAAAACTGATGTAATAGAGCAATTTAAACAGCGTCATTGTTTTTTTGCAGCCAAAAATCTATAAAAAACACTTACTGTAATTAAAGTTACTTGACAAAAATTTTTTTATTGATTTATGTTATGAACTTAAATATATTTGCCCTTCTTTATTATATTATTTTTATACTTTTTATCTATACTTTTAATGCTTACTTTCTTACTCTATCTTTTTTTATAGTATTATTATATTACTGTTTTTATATAAAAAAATATTGAAATATCTTTAATAAGTTTAGTATATAATATTGATATCTAAATCTCTCAAAACAAGATAGATTTATAGAATTACTTATTATACCAAGTATTTAATAATGATGAAATTAGATGCTTTAATACTAAATGTTAAAATGGATTATTTTTTAAATCACATTTTTAATTAGAGAAATAGTATTTAAATTGTAATATTTATAAATCTTGTCATTTTGTAGTTTTAGAAATATAAAATATTTTAATTATTTATTGATGAGTAAATTTTTATTATATTTGAAAGATAAATATCAAATTCTAAAAACGATATTTTATCGTTTCTTTTTTTTGCAAAAAAATTCAAATTGAATAAGAAATTCTAATTTTTTATTATATTTAAATTTTTATTATGTTTGAAAGATAAATATCAAGTTTTAAAAATAGTTATTTTATCGTTTTCTTTTTGCAAAAAAGACTAAAATTAAATGAGAAATTCATACATTATTTATAATTAAAATATATATTTTAATTATAAAAGACATATTATCAATTAAAATTAATATTTTATATTTATAATAAATATTCAATACAGATATAAAATTTCAATAAAAATTTCATTATTAACATTATTTACTTTTGATAAACTTTATTTATAGTTAATAGCAGAAGATTTTAGCCTAATATATCAATTTTCAAATATATTTCAAATATTTTTAATATTAACTACCCATCAAAAAATTATTATAAAAGAAAAACAATTTTATTGTAAATCTGAGAAATCAATCAATATTAGAATAATATGATACAAAAATTTATTATAATTTAAAATTTTTCATATATTTTTTGCACATGTTTAATTTTAGAAGATTATTCAATAATTTCATTAACAGAACTTTTATCAATATTTTTATAAACTTTAGTTAAATAATATTTGAAAATATAATAACACAACTTTTAATAAAATTCTGTACAATTTAAAACAAAATAATATTCCACAAGTTTATCAGCATAATTTTCAAAAGCATTCGCTTATTTTTCGTAAGATTCTTACAATATAATATTTAATTATATTGTGAAAATTCTGATTAATATTGAAATAAATTCAAATTAAATTTAAATTAAATGCATATATTCATGCATGCATAGTGATTTATTCGACAAAAATATTAAAAAAATGTATATATATAAATCGGAATTAAAATGATTTAGTGAAAAGTTATTCAGTTAAAAGAAAATTTTAAAGTGCAATATTTATTTTGACTTTTGGTAAAGCCAAGATTATATTAATGGTTATCTTAATCTTTTTTAAATCTATGGGGTACTTTATTTTTTTTATTTTTTTAGATTAAGATTTCTTTAGTTATGATCCTTCAAAGTTATATACTACTTATTTCTTCTTTTCAACTAAACTTTTGTTCATAATATTTGTTTTTATAATAATTTAACGTTCTTTTTTATGTCTCAATTTATTGAAATTAGTAATTATTTTTATTATATAATTTTTTTTCTCATATATGAATATATATATGAATATATATATATTTATTAAATATTACAATAATAAAATATTGTTTCCGAAATATATATTTATTTTAGCGTCGCGGCGTTACCGCGTCACTTGAGATATATATATATATATATATATATATATATATATATATATATATAGGTATATATAGGTATATAAACATATATTATTATTTGGAAAATAAAATTCTTCTATATACATATATGTATATGCATAAGTACGCACATACACATTTAAATACTTACATAATATTTTCACAAATTTTATTATTGTACAGGATGTTATTATGCATTTTTTGGAAATATATTTTAAGACTCGCCATGTTTTGACAAAAATTTATTTTATCAAAAATTATTACTAGTAATTTAGAAAAATAGATTTGTAATTTTTATAGAGATAAATCTGTGTGTGTGTGTGTGTTTTCTCAATTAAAATTATTAATAATTTTTCTTTTTAAGCAGACGAGTCTAGAAAATGTCTCTCTGCTTGTGGATCACAATTGTGGTAAGGAGCAATTTCCGTGCCACACCATACAGATACTCAATGATCATTGCGATGAAGTTTGGTATTGTAAATTCTCGCCCGACGGTCTCAAACTCGCCACAGGTTCTAAAGATATGACTGTAATTATATGGGATGTAGATCCAGTGAGTATAACATATAGTGTGAAATGCTTCCAAGATTAGAAAATTTTTTGTTTTTTTCCATATTAGTCCTAAAAACCAATTTAGTCCTAAAAAATATGATTTGCATTTTGATGAAATACAAATTATAAAAAATTTATTTTATATTTTTATTTTCTCTTTGCTTTTTTCTTGTATTAACGTACTAGTCTTATATTATGTTTCTAGCTTTATCAAAAGTTATTTATTAATCTTTATGAAATTAATTGTATGACAGATTTTTAAAATAAATATTCAATAATATTCAATAAATATTCAATAAATTATTCAATAATAATTATTATAATTTTTACTGAAAAAAACTCAAAGTTAGCAAAAAAAGTGGACAAGAAGTGTGATTAGTGATTGGTATAAATTTTATTTGATTCTCGAATAATCTGTAATTAATACAAACATTTTTTCTAAAATGCGATATAGGAAACATTAAAAGTAACACATAGGAAAACACTCGAGGGCCATACGTATGGCGTAGCACTGATCGCCTGGAGCCCCGACAGCAGTCATCTAATTGCCTGCGGCCCTGAAGACTGCCCTGAGCTGTGGCTTTGGAATGTCGACACGCCCGATTGCGAATTACGCGTGAAACTGACCCAGAGTACGGACGACTCGCTGACGGCTTGCGCCTGGCATCGTGATTCGAATAAATTCGTAGCCGGGGGACTTCGTGGTCAATTTTATCAATGCGTATGTGTTAACTTTTATAAATTAATAAGTTATAACAAGGTGTCCAATTTTTATCGACCACTCCTGAAAACTTATTTTTGATTGTACAACAAAAATTGTTTGGTTTGACAGAAAATGGCGCTTCTTTCTGAAGGGCACTTTTCAAGGTTATTTATATTTTTTAAATAAAACTACTATAATTTTTTATATAAATCGATTCCTTGCAATTTTTAAATAAAAGCATAAAAGATTATAAGGGCAAGATAGCCAAAAGATGAATAGTTTACGGGATATTTTACACTTTAATTTGATACTAAAGTACATAATGAAATATCTCGTAAAATATTTTTTTTTTATGATTTTATCACAATACTTACATGCGTAAAATAATGGAAGGAATCTGGTGCAAAGAAAATACATAGTTGTTTGTAAGGAAAAGTATGTATGTACTAGTTGCAAATTACATATTTTTTCTTATAAACAACTATGAGTTTTTCTTTACACCGATTTCTTTGGAGGAATCAGTTCATATAAAAAAATGAGTGTAGTTCTATTTAAAAAAAACATGAATAACCATCAAATGACCTTAAAAAGCGTTTTTCAAAAAAAAAGTAAGCAGCGTCATCTTCTGTCTTTTTTTAAATCAAACAACTTTTGTTTAAAACATTTTGCTATATAATCAAAAATAAGAGTTTTCGGGAACAGTCGATTAAAATTGAACATCCTATAACTTAGTTTATAATTCTTTGGCTGCACATAAAACTACTTTCTAAAAATTTTCAACGAGTGAAATAAAAACAATTACGGAACATTATTTAAAAAATATTTACCATATTAATTAATTATATATTGATAATTTAACAATGAGTTTTGTTTCAATCGACTATTTATTTAAAAATTTACTTATTTTTATTGTGAAAGAGCGAGAACGTGAATATGTAAAGTTTGCAGCCGAAAAGATAGATGTAATTTTTTTATTAGAAAAAAATTCAAAATTAACTCAAACACATATCGAATATTAGTGTACTTAACTTTAATAAAAATTTTAGGACATGGACGGCAATGTCTCCGATTCATGGGAAGGAGTAAGAGTAAAATGTCTATGGTGTCGCAGCGATGGCAAAACTGTTCTAGCCGCTGATACACATCATAGAATTCGAGGATATAACTTTGATGAATTATGCGATTTTACAATGTACGGTTTAAAAATCATTACCATTTTATTAGGCGATTACATAAGATTTTTAACAAAATTGTCCTACTTTATTATAGGTTGCAAGAAGATCATCCCGTCATGTCATTTAGCGTAAACAAAGCGGATCGACTCGCGTTACTGAATGTAGCCAATCAAGGTGTACATCTTTGGGACTTGCAAGATAGATGTCTTGTAAGACGTTTTCAAGGAGTCACCCAAGGACATTTTACTATTCACAGTTGTTTTGGAGGAACCAATCAAGATTTTATTGCATCTGGTAGTGAAGGTAAGAAAGTCATCGTATAAACAAAATTGTTGCACATTAAATCACCACATATGTTTATTTATTTAGAAAAATAAATTTTTATTTTATTATTTTTATTAGAATTTTTATATTATTTTATTAGATAATAAGATGCAATTTAATTCGACCAAAAACTGGCTATTCATTTATTGAAAATAAGTATTTATTTATCACTGGCGATCAACAATTAATTGTGAAGATATTTTATTAGAATTTTTTTAAGTACAATTATTAATTGTTTGTTACTTTATATTAACACAGATACTAAGGTATACATCTGGCATATCAAGAGAGAATTGCCTATAGCAACGCTCACAGGACACAGTAGAACAGTTAACTGTGTCTCATGGAATCCTGTTTATCATCAAATGATGGCTTCTGTATCGGATGATTTTACAGTAAGAATATGGGGTCCAAGATCATCTTCTCTCGACGGAGTTGAAAACGATAAGACTGGTAAGCAAAGTTTTCTAAGAAATTATATATAATATAAAAGTCATTGCAAAATGTGTTGTACATGCAGGGTGTCCCATAAAAAATAGCTGAAACTTAATAACTCAAAAAGTACTTAAAAGAAAAATACTTTATTATAACGTTTTAAAAAGTTCTCGAGATAAGTTACAAGAATATGTAAAGAAAAATAGTAGGTTTTATTTAAGAAATTGAAGGTGATCTTCAAATGATTATACAAAGTCAAATCAATGATACAATCTAATGTCTCCCATGAAGTCAAAAAACTTTTGTTTGAAACATTTTTTGTATCTCTTAGATTTCGAAATATTTGCCTGGGGCAGCAATTGAAATTATATACAGGGTGTCCGGTAAGTGTTAACACGACACGGCGCGCCGCAAAGCGGAAGGAGGAGCGGACGATGACTGTTTACGAATTGTATTCGGGAAATCTTCGTGTATCGTGTTACAGTAAGACGTCTTTTCTCGTCGCGCGCTTCTATTCGCGTGGATTGGCCGATCTTTTTTATTTAATAACTCAATAATATTGCGAAAATCGCAAAACGGTAGAGGACTTTCCTATTCGGTTTAACTTACTCTACCTGCACGCGACGGTTGAGGCAACTCTTACCGGACACCCTGTATACAGGGTATCTTATAGGAAATTACTGATTGTGAGACTAATCAGTTGTCACTTTAATGCATGCAGTTATTGAGAAAACAAAAATTGTATTGAAAAAACGAAAGTCTATATCATGTTTTTAATGAATATAAATAAAATGTTTGTATACCAGTTTATTTTATTGACAAAAAGTAACGAAAAAAGTGTTAATAATCATATATGTAAACTAATAATAAATATTTTCGAAATGCGCATCATTTAAATTTATACAAAGTTCTGTTCTTTTACGAAAACTCAAAAATTTTTTCTAACATATCATTTTTAATGTTATTGATGATCCTTTTAATAGCTGCTATTGAATCTGGCACTGCTAAAAATATTTATCATTAGTTTGTGATTTTATGTGATTATTAGAACTTTTTACATTACTTTCTATCAATAAAATAAACTCGTATACAAACATTTTATTTATATTCATTAAAAACTGTAGACTTTCCTCTTTCCAACACAATTTTTGTTTTCTCAATAACATGTTTGCATTAAAAAATGAAATACTGATTAGTTTCAGCAATTTCCTGTGGAACACCCTGTATTATAACTGAGAATACATCTTTCTATTTTCTTTGAAAGATAAATTGTTCAATTTTAATCTAAAATCTAAAGTATAGTTCCTGAAAAGTTGGGAGAATCATAATTAGAACACTATTATAAAATTTTGCTATAAAAAATATAAAAAATAGAAAAGTATTATAAAAAAATATTTAACAGTTAATATAAAACATCTTTTGTAACAAAATATATAAGAATAAAATATTTTACCTAAAGCTAGATCATACAATCCACCTTTCAGTGGATATCCAAAGATGTAAAAAGATAGAACTGTTCTGATTTTCATCACACTTAAGTTCTTTATATCATTTGCCGTAAACGTAGAATAATAAATGGGAGTCTTAATAAAAAACATTTTTTAATTTTATATCACATTCTATATTTTGATAAATAAAAATCAATATAAAAATGATAGCTTTTATTATTGAACTTTTATTAGTGAATCTATTTTTGTAAAAAATATATTAAAATGTCTCTCTCCTCTTGAGAATATCCTGTACATATGAGTGCAACCCCTTCTTTATAAATAATTTTATGTACATTAGAATTAGTTTGGGTCCAAAAACCATTTCTAATATTCATGTACACTGCGAAAAGCTGAAATATCAAAATAACATGTATTTGTTAATTTCAGTATCGCTAGAAACTAATTCTTCAAATACCAGTGGATGGCATGAAATGGTATCGTAGCGAACTACAGAGCGCACCAGTGTTCCCATGACCTCATGGTGTTCAAAAGACTGTCATATTGACATTTGACTATTGTACTGTCCTGTTGATTGTCATATTGACATTTTACTTCCTTCTGCAGTTGCCCCCTCCGTACCTCTCAATCACTCTCACCTACCATCTGTTGAATAGAGGTATTAGGAGAGATGTATATGTTAGCAACAACTGCTAAACCGTCTGCAACTATTAAAAGAACCGAAAACCATCGAGTGTAATTTTCACCTTAGTGCATATATATATATATACACACATATATATATATATATATATATATACTTTCTTTTTAATAGTATCTTTATGTATTTTGTATGCATATGATATCCGTTGTGTTATCTCGATTAAAAATGTTGAGTGATTTAAGCGTCAAGAGTTAATAATCGAAGATATGATGCATAATAAAGTAGATTATATGGCAGAAAATAGAAAATGAAGAAAATTCCGTCTTAGGATTGATGTGTAAGGAATAAAAATTATAAAACACAACAACAACAAGAACATGGAACGCATCTGTGTGATGTTGGGACAGTATCATAGAAACGTTATGTTTTGACAGGAATTTTGTCAAATTGACTATAATTGTATCAATAAATATTGTAAATAACAATTTCGAATATAGAGTTTTATTCTAAGTCATTCATCGATTAATGACACAAATATTATCTTTAATATGTTATGTTTTTTGTAATTTTTGTGATGCAAAATGTAAATTTTCAAATATGTATTGTGATCTCGTCAGATTACTGGATTTCATATATATATATATATATATATATATATATATATATATATATATATATATATATTAGGCAAAGTTCTCTTAAAAAAACAAACACTTGCTAAAAAATAAATTATTTTTGTTCAATTTTCAAGCACACCAAACTGCAGAATTTAGAAAGTAATACATATGTAAATGCGTAAATATGCTTAAGCAATTATAAAATAACTATTATTTCTCAATTTTTACTTAGAATTATAATCACAATTTGTGCAAAAAAAAATGTATATCACTATAGTTTATAGAACTTTCTAACGAAAGCGTTTAATACGAATCAGAAATTATGTTTTTAATAGCCCGCAAAAGGCCTAATTTATTTATGTGTAATTAAATAATTGGAAATGGTAAACATACTTTAGGTGATATTGGAAAATTATGAATGTTGTGTGCTGATTTTATTAACTGCCATGTATTAAAAGATATGTAACGTGTGCTACCCCTTTTCATCATTTATTCAAAAATATACCTATGACGTGCATATAATGTGATAACATCTTGGTAGTGCAACGATATATAATGTTTAATAAAGTTAGTAAATTTGCTTTTTTTTATTACTGTGTGTATATTTGTTTGCAAAAATAATTTTTAAAAATTATATATGATACAGAAAAAGGGAAACCATACTGTAAAAAGGATAAAATAATTAATTTTAATTTGGCTTTATTCAAATTGCAATTAAAATATGCTTGGAATGTAATATAGCAATTAAAGGGATATAAATATAATCCGAAAAAAATTTATTAGTCTGAAACAATGAGAATATCAAGGGAAAGAGAGAGGAATTTACGATATATATGTAAACAAATTTTAGTAGCACATACTATTATTAAATAATTACATACGTAAAAAATTTATATAGTATGATCTTAATACAATATTTATTATTAGAAATATAACGTCAATCACTATTATCATTTGCATTTACCTCTGGTGCCTTAGCACTTTATAATTTAATCAAAAATTTACAGTTTCTTGTAATTTAGAATGACTAAATTTAATTCATAATTCGTATATATGTATAAGCTGCATATATAACAAAACTTAAGAGCTAGTTCTATCTTAAATATCTTTCAACTTTTATTCATATGTATTACATATATTTATATACTTTTAATCGATTTTATCCATTATTACAATAATCTAATCTAATTTTAATTAGACACACATTTAATAATTGTATTGAAATATTGAAAATTAAATTGCTTGTTTGTCATGAATTTTTGTATTTACCATTGTAAGTTGTAAGATATCGTGAAAAAGTTATATATATATGTGTATGAAATAATTAGATACTTTTAATTTTCATAGATTAAATACACATATGATTATTAAAATATAAGGGTAAAAAAGTGTGTTAGTAAACAATTAAATATCAAATTTTTATTGGACAAATAAATGCAAAAATTTTCAATTAGATAGTAGAATATATAATATATATATGTATATTAATTTTTATATATTGTTTTGCATTAATATTATATTATTCAAAATTATTTGCAATTTCTCTTAACTGCAAATTTTTTTTATAAGTGCAGTATTAATTTTCTCAGTCAAAATTTGATTAAACATAAATTCTTGCACAAATATTTGGGAAAATTTAATTTAATATTTGGGATAGTTTAATTTTACGAGATTTTTCGATTGAAGTTAGGGGTAATTTTTCGGTTTTACGTCAACAAAACTTTGAAACATAAATATTTTTGCTTTGTGCACCGGTATTTATTTCTAACGAAAAATTATTTAGTTTCGTTAGGATAACGCATTGTCATCCGCGATTTGGCTCTTGTTGCCCGTCTTATACGTTAAATTTATAAATATTTTTATTCCAAAAAATTACAGCTTATTTGGGACATGAAAAGGTAAGTTTCCATCAAATTTGGTGAAAAAAATTTTTTTTTGTCCGAGAAAAAAAATAATTACGAAAAACACAGTTTTTTAAATTTTTCTCGAAAATTTTGAGGTTATGTGAAAAATGATGTATACAAAAGTTTTAGATCGTTTTAATATCTACAACTTTTTCTTAAAACATTTTTTGATCCGAGGTCAACTTTTGGCGGAAATCACAAAAAACCGTTTGCCACCCCTAAAAGTCACCCCAGAACACCCTAAAATACATTTGATCAAATTGTATTTTTTTCCCCCGTAATCAGTGCAAAATTATCTACCAATTCCACCAAGAGCCGTCCTGTTATTAATTTTTTCCGTTTTTGGTCTTTTTAACACGTACCTAATTGCACTGGTCTAATATGCATATATACAATATAAAAGATCTTGATAATAAAAACAAATATAAATGATCATCTAGATTAAATTTTGGCGTCAGGTTATATTTATATACATATATAAATAATAAAAATAGATGTTATATATCTATACCTGCAGATTAAATAAAAAAAGTGTTATATATCTTAATGAGATTATCTAGGATAAAATGTTCAGATATACTTTGGTTTAGATAAAATAATAGAATGGTTTAGATAAAAAAATAGAAAAAATACTCAAGTTGTAGAACTTAAACACAGTAAGCGTTAAAAACTTATGAACAACTTATAACTTATAAATAAAAGTATAAATATATATTTATATGTAAACGTACGCCATTTCTGACGTTTATATAATGACGTCATTTTGCTACTTGGGTATAATTTACATTTTCTTGTAACTTTTTAAAAAGAGAGATTTTAAAAATAATTTTCATCTTATTTAAGATGTATTTACATATTTTCATCTAAGTAATTTTAAAATTATTAAAACAGCGCCAATGGTTTTGAAATATGGAAAAGAAATTCTTCGACGCCATTTTGAATGTAAACGCACGTTTTGTTGGAGAATAAAATTTTGGATAAAATAAAGACGTGTGCGATTGGACGCTGACTTCGGTAAATCTCGGTTACGTTCGGCTCACATGCAAAAAGTGCAAAGAACTGAAAGAGAGTGCAGCCAACTGATCATTAAAAGAAAACTATCCGCTTGGTTGATAGGTTAGGTGAGCGAACTGTAAACATCAAATAAGTTATTTTTCTTTTCAAAAACAAATGGTAATTAAAATTTCCAGATTACCTAATTACATATTATTTATTTTACTCGTATTTTTTCAAATTACACTTTTAAATGTAAGTGCAACAATTTTTTAGATTATTTTGTAGGTTGGGTTTCGTTTTTATGTCAATGTTTACACGTGCATTTTATATGCATTGCACATTAGGGCTCGCTATTATACGTATAAATACGTTCATTCGTATAACATATCCGTATAATATAAATGTTTTTTTGTACACGTGTTTTAAGGACCTATTATAAGTTTAAACGGTAATATACGTATATACGATTAGTTTTAAATATATTGAAATTATTTAATTTATATTGTGTATATATATATATATATATATATATTATTCTCTTGCACTCAATAGGAGATTAGATAAATAGATTTAAACACGTGTATGGGAAAAGGTATATTATTCGGATATGTTAATTATATATTTTCATTTAAACGTATAATAGTGAACTTTACGTGTATTAACGTTTTCCTACAAGTAAACGTTTTTTTTTTAGAAATAAATGTAAACGGATAAATGTTTTACGTTTACACGTATATTCGAAAAACGAAATAAAATAAGAGCTCTACTACAAATGCTATGAATTATTTTTTATTAAACATATAAGAACAAAATAATTTTATTTTTATTTAAATTAAATTTATGAAAAAATTACTCGAATTGAATTAATGAAATTGAATGTAAAATAGATTCACACTTATAAAAGTTCAATAATAAAAGCTATCATTTTTATATTGATTTTTATTGATCAAAATATAGAATGTGATATGAAATTAAGAAATATTTTTTTTATTGAAAACATTTTAATTTTATTTGTATCTTACAACAAAAATTTTAATTTTTCCATTTTTATTAATCGAAAATATGTAGTTGTGTCAATTTTGTTGATATTGATAAAAGAAATATTTATATACTTTCTATTACTAAAATTTTGCAAATTATAATAATTATTTCTAAGTTCTATAGCTATTTTTAAGCATATTTAGCAATATTTTGTCTCATGTTGATATTTTATAGAAAATTATTGCTGTTATAATCAATATTGTTGTTACAGATTTATGCAAGCTAAATATTAAGAAAATGAAATATTATAAGCAACGTCTAACACCAAAACATCAAGACTCTCAGCATTTATTATTCTCAGTGTTTACGGCAAATGATATAAGGAACTTGAGTGTGACAAAGATCAGAACACCTCTATCTTTTAACATCCTTGGACATCCACTGAAAGGTGGATTGTATGATCCAGCTTTAGGTAAAATATTTTATTCTTATATATTTTGTTACAAAAGATGTTTTATATTAACTGTTAAATATTTTTTTATAATACTTTTCTATTTTTTATATTTTTTATAGCAAAATTTTATAATAGTGTTCTAATTTTATGATTCTCCCAACTTTTCAGGAACTATACTTTAGATTTTAGATTAAAATTGAACAATTTATATTTCAAAGAAAATAGAAAGATGTATTCTCAGTTATAATACAGGGTATTCCACAGGAAATTGCTGAAACTAATCAGTATTTCATTTTTTAATGCAAACATGTTATTGAGAAAACAAAAATTGTGTTGGAAAGAGGAAAGTCTACATTTTTTAATGAATATAAATAAAATGTTTGTATACGGGTTTATTTTATTGATAAAAAGTAATGTAAAAAGTTCTAATAATCACATAAAATCACAAACTAATGATAAATATTTTTAGCAGTGCCAGATTCAATAGCAGCTATTAAAAGGATCATCAATAACATTAAAAATGATATGTTAGAAAAAGTTTTTGAGTTTTCGTAAAAGAAGAGAACTTCGTATAAATTTAAATGATGCGCACTTCGAAAATATTTATTATTAGTTTACATATATGATTATTAACACTTTTTCGTTACTTTTTGGCAATAAAATAAACTGGTATACAAACATTTTATTTATATTCATTAAAAACATGATATAGACTTTCGTTTTTTCAACACAATTTTTGTTTTCTGAATAACTGTATGCATTCAAAAATGGCAGCTGATTAGTCTTAGCAATTTCCTATAGGACATCTTGTATATACAATTTCAATTGCTCCAGGCAAAGATTTTGAAAACTATGAGAAATATGAAAAAATGTTTCAAACAAAAATTTTTTTGACTTTGAGTGGAACATTAGATTGTATCATTGATTTAATCTTGTATAATCATTTGAAGGTCACCTTCAATTTCTTAAATGGAACCTACTATTTTTTATTACATATTATAACTTATCTCGAGAACTTTCTTTACATCAATTGATTTGTCTCATTATTTCATACATAAAAATATTAAGGTATGATTACTGAAAACTGAATATTTTGCGAGATATATATATATATATATATATATGGGTTTGTCCGGAAAGTAATGCGTCGCATTTTTTTGTGACGCGACTATACATCGCAGAGCGATGGGACCGGTTGGGGAGGAAGGGGGGTACCCTTAGCTTTCCAACGGTAGGTCGCTCAATTGTTTCCATGCGCTTGGAGGGTTAGGACGGCTTATTCTGTGAACCTCTGCTTAGTGGTCGCGTCGAACTTGTGATGGAGAGAACGATAGAGCAACGCTATGCGATAAAGTTTTGCGTGAAGCTGGACAAGACGCCGCTGGAAACTTTTGAAATGCTCAAGAAAGTTTGGCCCCGGCGGACTTTTTTTTATTTCCTCGGCTGAAAAGGGAGCTCAAAGGACAACAGCTCGAGTCGGTTGACAACGTACAAGCTACTTCGACGGCCTCCCTGAACAGCATCCCAGTCAAGGAGTTCCAGAAATCTTATGACGCATGGAAATCGCGTTGGCAAAAATGTATTGACGCAGAAGGGTCATACTTCGAACAATTTTAAGTTGTTTTACCTATGCGATCAATAAATTCTTTTTTAAAAAAATGCGACGCATTACTTTCCGGACAAACCCTGTATAAAATATATATATATATATATATATATATAAATATTTTACATTTTATGTCAAAAAATAGTCAACTTTAAATCTTAATAACTCAAAAAGTACTTAAGAGAAAAATACTTTATTATAGTGATTTTGAAAGTTCTCGAGATAAGTTACAATATGTAATAAAAAAAATAGTAGGTTCTATTTAAGAAATTGAAGGTGACCTTGATCTGACTTTAGCAATGCCACCCATTGTCAAATTAATATAATTATCATTAAATGCGCTTTTTTAAGTCTTACAACTTTTGTTTAAAACGTTTTTTTCTAATGCATTGTACAAGAAATATTCAACCGTTTCCAGACTTTTGGGACACTGTATATTTAACATATTCGACTTATTACAGGTACAATAAGAAATTATTCAGAGTTATGTAGCACATGCGGACACAATCTCGCAAAGTGTCCAGGCCACTTTGGACACATAGAATTGCCAGTCTCCGTAGTCAATCCATTATTCCACAAAGGATTATCCACCTTGCTCAAACTATCATGCTTAAATTGTTTCACCTTACAAATACCAACATACGTCAAGATGCTATTGTCTGCAAAGTTAAAATTGCTCTATCAGGGGCAACTCGGTGATCTCGAAGCCTTAGATCAAGAGGTGATGCACATAAAGTCAACGAGTGTCCAGAAGGAAAACGAACAAACGGAGTACATTCGTGAAGTGATCGACGCCTACATGCAAAACTTCTCCAACAGAAGCAGATTTAACCACCCCACGTCCGAAAATCACGAACAGACTGGCAACAACATAAAGACCGTGAATACACAGTGGCATATCTATGTCGACACTATACTAAAACAATACGTCAGAAACAAGAGTGGGATTTGCACGAACTGTGACAAAATTCTGCCGAAGATCACGACGCTGCAGAACAAGATAATGATCAACAACAAGGGCGCGTCCAAGGAAATGGTGTCGCGCGAGGTCATCCACAAACTGGACACGGTGATGATTATGCCGGATCGGTCTAAGGAGTACATGCGCCAACTGTGGAACAACGAGAAGGACTTTCTTCGGTTGATCATACCCTGTCTGGAGTCCGTGGACATCGAGTACCCGACCGACGTCTTCTTCTTTGAGGTGATACCCGTCCTACCGCCGATTGTGCGGCCGGTGAACTTCGTCAACGGCCAGATGATAGAGCATCCGCAGACTTACATCTACAAGAGCATCATCCAGGACTGTCTGGTTCTGAGGAACATCATACAGACGATCCAGGACGGCGGGACCGATCAGCTACCGCAGGAGGGTCGACTCGTCTTCGAGCAGATAAGAGGTCAGACGGCTGTGGAGAAGCTGCACAACGCCTGGCAGTCCCTGCAGAGCAACGTCGACCACCTGATGGACCGCGACATCAACCGGACCCCGGAGTCCATCAATGGTCTGGGCTTGAAGCAGATTCTGGAGAAGAAGGAAGGTATCATCAGGATGCACATGATGGGTAAAAGAGTGAACTTCGCCGCGCGCTCGGTTATTACTCCGGATCCAGACCTCAGCATCGACGAGATTGGCATCCCCGAGGCCTTTGCTCGAAAACTGACGTACCCCACGACCGTGACGCCCTGGAACGTCGTTGAGCTGCGACGATTGGTCCTGAACGGACCCAACGTTCACCCCGGCGCGGTCTTGATCGAGAACGAGGATGGTTCGGTGCAGGCCATTAAAAGCAATGACGCTATGCAGCGGGAGGCGATCGCGAAGCGTCTGCTGACGACCAGCAGAACCGACGAAGCCTTTGTCGGCGTGAAAACGGTGCACCGACACCTTCAAAACGGCGACGTGCTGCTGCTGAATAGACAGCCGACTCTGCACAGACCCAGCATAATGGCCCACAAGGCGCGGGTGCTCAAGGGAGAGAAGACTCTGCACCTACATTACGCGAATTGTAAGGCCTACAATGCGGACTTCGACGGCGACGAGATGAACGCTCACTTTCCGCAGAACGAGCTGGCCAGGAGCGAGAGCTACACCATCGCCAACGTGTGCAACCAGTACCTGGTGCCGAAGGACGGGACCCCGTTGAGCGGTCTCATACAGGATTACATGGTGTCCGGGGTGCAGCTGACCACCAGGGGTCAGTTCTTCTCGCGTACGCGTTACACACAATTAATTTACGCGGCACTTTCGACGGTCCAGGGAGACATAACTCTCCTGGCACCGAGTATCGTCAAGCCGAGACCTTTGTGGTCGGGCAAACAGGTCCTTTCCACCGTCATCATCAATATTATTCCCTTGGGCAAAGCACGGATCAATCTGGTCTCCAATACCAAGATAAACGCGAAGGAATGGCAGATGGAAGCGTCGCGAACGTGGAAGTCCGGGGTAGAGTTCAAGGATCCTATAACAATGTCGGAAGCCGAGGTTGTGATTCGTCACGGGGAATTATTATGTGGAGTGCTGGACAAGACCCATTATGGAGCGACCTCCTACGGTCTCATTCACTGCATTTACGAGTTATACGGCGAGGAGTGCGCGAGCAAGACGCTGAGCGCCTTCGCCAGGTTGTTCCAAACCTATCTGCGGTACAGCGGATTTACCCTGGGCGTCGAGGACATCCTGATAACACGGAAAATCGACAAGAGGCGTAAAGAAATCATTTCCAATTGCCGGAAGATCGGGGAGAATATACAGAGGTCCGTCGCGAAGCTAGCTGATGATTCCTCCACGGATGAACTTAAGGAAAAGATTGAAGATTCTTATTGGGACAATCCGAAATTTCGCGCGCAAATTGATCACAAGTACAAGAGCGCATTAGACGTTTACACCAACGATATTAATAAGACCTGTCTGCAGCTGGGGCTCTTTAAGAAGTTCCCCAGCAACAACTTGCAGCTCATGGTGCAGTCCGGGGCGAAGGGATCCATGGTTAACACCATGCAGATATCGTGCTTGCTCGGTCAGAGCGAGCTGGAAGGCAAGAGGCCGCCGCTGATGATCAGCGGGAAGAGTCTATCGAGCTTCTTAGCGTACGACCCGACGCCCAGAGCCGGCGGCTTCATCGACAACAGATTCATGACCGGGATCAAGTCCCAGGAGTGCTTCTTCCATTGCATGGCGGGTCGGGAGGGTCTGGTAGATACCGCCGTGAAAACCAGCAGATCCGGATATCTGCAGAGGTGTCTGGTGAAGCATCTCGAGGGTTTGGTAGTGGGTTACGACGCGACCGTCAGGGACTACGACGGCAGTCTGATTCAGTTTTATTACGGAGAGGACGGCCTCGACATCCCGGGGTCGCGATTCCTGCGAAAGGAACAAATACCATTTCTGGTAGACAATAAAGACGCCATCGTGGACGCGGAATTATTAGAACGTCTAAAGACGAATGATAAGGAGATCGCGAAGATGACGAAGAAGATCAAGAAGTGGGAGAGCAAAAATGGTCCCGCCTTGCAAAAGAGAAGAGTCAGCGAGTTCGGTAGGTTCTCTAGTGAGAACCAAAATCCCAATTCTTTGAAGAGGAGATGCATCGACGGTCACAGCGGAAGAAGCAAGGCCGCATTGTCCTTGATTCGAAAGTGGATGAAAGCCAAGGATGAGGTAAAGGACACCTTTCGCGCCTTGTGCGCCACGTGTCCGGATCCGGTGACGTCCAAGTACAGGCAGGACATCGAATTCGGGGTATTGCCGGAGCGAATAGAGGGTTTGATGGACGAGTACCTTTCTGCCCCTTCGCCAAGGATCAAGAAATCCACTCTAAGAGACTTGTTATCCGTCAAACTCATGAGAACCATTTGTCCGCCCGGCGAACCGGTCGGCTTATTAGCTGCCCAATCCATAGGCGAGCCATCCACCCAGATGACTTTGAACACCTTTCACTTCGCCGGACGTGGCGACATGAACGTGACTTTGGGTATCCCCAGGTTGCGTGAAATTTTAATGATGGCGTCGAAGAATATTAAAACCCCGAGTATGGAGATACCCTTCCTGAAGGATCTACCAAATTTGGAGAAACAGGCGAGGAAACTGAGATTGAAGTTAAACAAGTGCGTCCTTCGCGACGTGTTGAAGGACGTCACGATCAGCAGGAGGATGGAAGAGGGCTCGCATCGAAGATTATTGCATACAGTAACGATTGAGTTTATTCCTTACAAATCCTATAAGGGAGAATTCTCCGTCCGTCCGGAGGACGCGATCAGGTGTACCGAGAAGGTGTTCTTCAGCAATATGTTTAAGGAGATTCAGAAGCTCGCCAAGGCGAGCAAAGTTCTGTTGCACTTCGAGGCTGAGAAGAAACGAACGAGCGACGAGGACGCGATGATAGATCAGATTGACCCGGACGATACGATGCTGGAAAATACCGGGGAAAAAACGCGGATGGATTTAGGGGAGATGCACGAGTCCTCCGACGAGGAAGAGATCGCGGAGGACGCTGACGCGACGATGAGCAGGTCGTTGTCGCGTCATCAGGAGAATCAAGAATACGAAGAGTCCGAAGGAGAAGAAGATGAAGAGATGGATGACCCTGCTTATGATAAGGAGGAAAATAATGTGGATAATAATAATATGAGTAAAATTCTCACGGAGAATAAGGAGAATAATGAAGAGGATAATCATACTAAAGAAAGATTGAATAACAAAAAAGATGACAAGCTTTCCGACAAAAGACAAACTGTCATAAGTACATACGAGCATGCTGTCGATTATGATTACGACAGAAATAAATTATCGTGGTGTAAATTCACATTTTGGGTATGTATTTCTAGCTTTGTACAGTGTTCAATTTTAATCTATCGCCCCTCGTAGCTTTGCTATGATTTGGACAAAAATTGTAGAATTTATCTGATGGTGACCTTGATTTTGACCTTAGGGGTCAAATTTGAAGGTCATTTCAAAATCAATATAAAAATTTTTAATTAAAATTCCTATTTCTCATTATTAATAAAAAAAACTATTATGTGTTTTAGAAAACTCTTGAGAGAGGGGGGGAGAGAGGGGAGAGAGAGAGAGAGAGAGAGAGAGAGAGAGAGAGAGATGAACTACAAGAATATGTAATGAGAAAATAGGAATTTTAATTTAAAATTTTTTTAAGATCAAGGTCACCATCAGATGACGTCCTTTGAACTCTAAAACTTTTGTCTGAAACATTTTTCTTTACGACTGCTCCCTGTAAAGTTACGAGGGGTTATAGATTAAAATGGGACACCTTGTATATAATTTATTGTTATAATCTTTATGTATACTTTGTATCTTTGTAAAGCAGAATTTATAAAAGTAGTTCAATCTGCTAAAGCAATACTATGAATTAATCCATAATAATATAGACTTTATATTAAAAAAAATGAGTAATACATATTTAATTCCTTTCAGTTACCACTCAAAATGATCAAATTAGATTTACCAACAATAATTAGAAATGCAGCAGACAAAACTGTTTTATGGGAAACGCCGTGCATCAAGAAAGCTTTTACTTTTCAAAATAAAGGCGAAACAATTCTTAAAACAGATGGTTTAAATATAGTGGCAAGTAAATCGTGTCATAAAACAATCTATAAATAGAAAACATACTCTTTTATTTTCTCTTTATATATGTATATTTTATTTTTCTTTTTATTGCAGGAAATGTTTAAATACGATAATATACTTAATTTAAATAAACTGTATTCCAATGACATCTACAATATTTCTCAAACATATGGAATCGAAGCTGCGAATAAAGTTATTGTGAGAGAAGTCAGGGACGTCTTCAAGATGTACGGTATTACTGTGGACTTCAGGCATCTATCTTTGATCGCCGATTATATGACATTCGACGGCACGTTTCAACCACTTAGTCGGAAAGGAATGGAAAATTCCGCCTCACCATTGACGCAAATTAGTTTTGAAAGTTCGCTAGCTTTTTTGAAAAGTGCGACATTGCAGGGTAAGATTTTATATAATTTTTTACTTAAATGAAACAAGGAAACCTGACAATTTAATGGTTAAAAAATGTTGAGTTTTTAAGGAACAAAAGAGGGATCTCCCTTATTTTTCTTATATGAGACCAGTATGTAATTTGCAAGTAGCTACTTACATATTTTTTTTAACAATTTTATATTTTTTTTACACCAATTGATTCCTCATTATTTGTGCATAAAAAGTTTTATACCAAATATTGTAAAAAATAGATTATATAAAAATTATAGTGATTCCATTAAAAAAAAAAACTTGACCTTGAAATAATCCTCTAGACTTTGATCCAAAATTAAATAAAAATCACTATCAGAAAGAGATGACTTCATAATACGAAATAACTTATATTTGAAATATTTTAATTAAGATAACGCAAAATTTTTAAGATATTTGTGTGGATTTTGTAAAATGATATACCCAATATACATATAATATATATAGTACATAAAAACACCCAGCAAATGTACGTCATTCTGGACGCCGAATGACGTCAGTTTGCTACTCGGGCAGTTAAGTTTTGTAAAGTTACAATCATTTGATTACAAGAGTTAGAAATGCAATTCAATATTCTGAAATTTTTAATTTTAATCAATATTTAATTTTTTTATTTATTTGATGTATAGGAAAAAAGGACGATATATTATCACCCTCGAGTAGACTGATGTTAGGACAACCGTGCAAGTCTGGTACTGGAGCATTCTCTGTATTGCCATCATTATACACATAAAAAATACACACAATATATCATTCTCTATATGAATGCATAATTATATTTTATATATTTGTAAATTGATTACATTTATTTTTGCAAAAAAGTCGCAAAAAAATACAATAAAATGTTTCCAGTTTATAAAGAAAAAAATCCTCATTGTTTCAGTTTCTTTCAATGTGCACAATGCACAGATACCTATACTACTACTAGCCTGAAGTTGGCGACTTTAGCTTAGACATCTGTGACATAATGCAAAATTCGCTGCTTTTATTTATATATGCATAAATAGCTGTTCAATATGTGTCTAAAATGGTGCTAATTCTCAGTATTACTTTTGTTCTTTAAAAAAACCAATATATTTAAACAATCATGGTATATTATTTATTTGTGTTTTTGAACTGTAGTTTTCAGTTTTTCATAATTCGCGCCAGAGAAAGTCTCCAACTGAAAAAAAAACAGAAATTTTATTTGATTATTGTTCTCTTTCTCTATGATATTACTGTAAAAAAATTTAAATTATTTCGAATACATACTACTTTGCCTTCTTTTATAAAAATAAACGTGGGCATACTGGATATTTCATTCAGCAGCAATGTCTTCGCATTCGTCCACATCAACCTTGAGAAAAACGACATCTAATAGTTCCTGTATAAAAAAGATATTTACATTAATTTAAACAATTTTATAACGCTTGATTGATAATGGAATGAAAAGAATAGAATGTGATAAAACCTTTGCCAGTTCTTCAATTAGTGGCCCAATCATCTTGCAAGGTCCACACCATACGGCAAAAAAATCAATAACTACCAAACTATTGCCAGCATCTGTAAGCTTAGCCTTCAAATCATCCTATAACAAATGAGAAAATAGTTCATTTTTTGTTTTTCATCAAGTGTATGTACATACATAAGTACATACAGCAATTAAAACACAAATTATATATAATATATAAATTATTGGAAAAATATTATGTTGAATATATTAATATTGTTAAATGTTAAATATAAATCCCAAAATTAAACTGATTTTCAGGTAGTTGAGAACATCAAAACACACAAGCCAATTTTTGTCAATTTTATAACCACTTGAAGTTTAGGTCTAATTTTGGGACACCTTGTTATATGTATAAATAAAGTAAGAAGAAAAAGAAGAAAAAATATAAGATAGCTATCACAGAAATACAGATAAAATATAATTTACTTTAATAATGCTGCAGAATAAATTTAATAAACCCAAATAAAAATTAAGACAAAATGTTTTTATCTTAAACTTATATCATTTTTTTCGTATCTTAAAATTTAAAAACATTTTTACTTTATTTCCTACAATTTCTTTCCGAATGATCAATTAATAGTGAATATTTAATTCACACAGACTTAATTAGAATTCACGGACATCTTGCGGTTTTTTTTCAATTTTTTATTTAAATCTTATTTTATTAATATTTTCACATTGTTTTATTATATATTTATAAGTGCGCTTATAATTTATTTACACTACAGCAATCAGTCCAAAAAAACACATAGGACCGGTTGTTCCAACTCTTGATAAGTTTTACCCGACAAGTAGCATATCTTTGTCTCTTTTTTTAGAACTTATCTGAAAAGAGACGAAAATATGCTATCTATCAGGTAAAACTTACCGAGAAGTTGGAAAAATCGGCCCATATTTATTCAAAATATATAATTACTGCGATAAAAAAATTCTTATAATTAATTATACATTAGTCATTATTAATTATTGTTATAGTTATTAATATATACATACATACATACATACATATATATATATATATATATATGATATATATATATACATATATGTATATATGTATAAAAACGTGTTTTGTTTAAAATAAAAAATATAAGTTTATTGTTTATTGGATTTTATTTGCATGCTTTTAAATAGATAACTTATTATGTTAGTATTAAATAACTATACAATAAAAGTAGCCCAATTGTCATTGAATAGCAGAGAAATTCTGAGAATTTTCCTTCAATCTTGAAATTGAATTGAGTTTCTAGTTACTTCTAGGAACTCCTAATTAATACCGATGTTAACATAAAACGTTATGTAGTCGTATCATCAAACATATCATATACACCATGCTTGAAGATAAACATTCAATGTATAAATATTTATAAATATTTATATTTTGATATTAAATGTATATATATATATATATATATATATATATATTTATTTATTTATTTATTAGTAAATATTTAATATATATACTCATTTAATAATTAATATTTATATACATAATGTTATTAATAAAAACATATTTATTATAAGTATATTTATAATAATTAATAACATTATATAACTATAATAAATATTTACAATATTTATTATTAAATTTATTATTAAAATATTTAGCACCTAATCTAGAAAAGATCTTAATTTTATGATGCAAAACACATAAAATTTTACTTCAAAAAATTATTTAATTTTAAATATGAAAACACATATACACGTGATCATATCTGATATCTGTTTTTTTCTATAAATATGTATACATGCGATCGTATACAGGTTGCTGATTTTGCAACGTCGCATCGCTATATCTATATACGCGATATTCTATGCAATATAAATTAACTCGGATAAAATATTTCCGTTATAAATTCTTGAAAATTTCACAAATGTATATAATTAATTAATAAAATTTGTATAATAAATTAAATAAAATAATAATTCTTTAATTTCGACGCGATGATAAATTGAAGTCTTATCTATAAATCATAGATATCTTTGTGATTATTTGATTGAAATAAAGGGGGAGGGGAGAAGAAGGAAGAGAGTCTAATGGAGAATGCTAAATATCATTAACTATTGTCAATTATCTGATATAAAAGCTTAAGAGTTTCTTATAACACACGTTATTGATTTTTACCATTTACAATTATATATAGATGTTTGTAAATATATACGTATTTTTTATGGCACGATATACATATTATTCTTATAAATATTATCTATGCCTGTTCGAAATTATTATTGTTTATTATTCTGGCTCTTATATTTTTTAAGATAAGGGTGCGATAAATTTTTCTAGCTATATCTTCGCAAGTATAATAATCTTTAATATATTTATTGTTAAACAGATTTAGAAAAAAAAGATAAAATTTGAAAAAACTCTGTAAACCTCACTGCAGCTATATTGAATTATGACGTCGAAGCAAGAAATTACAAATTCTTTTCTTGAAAAATATATTGAGGTAAATGTTGCCAATCATGTTTAATAACATGAATTAGTAGAACACGTTTTTAATTTGATTAGTAAAATACCGAAAACTTTTTTTTGCGATTCATGAAATAAATATAGCTATAAATCTTGGTTATCATAAGATCATCTTATTAAATACAAGAGACAAAAAAGAAAAAGAAAGGTGTACCATTTTTATTTTACTAATTTATACTATAGTTATTTTATGTGTGTTGAAAATATATAAACCGATAAATTTTGGAGGAAAACAGAAGACTTCAAAACAAACATTTTTTGTTAATATTATTTTTTTTTACGATATTTAGTTTAATATTACATATGATGTGAAATAGGAGAGTTTGTGACTTAAAACTTGAACAATAAACACATATAAGTGAAAAAATTAAATTATATTATTTTAATCTTGAACAAAACACAGAGCAGAAAAAATTATTATTAACAAGAAATAATTGTTTCAAAGTAATTTTCAAAATAATTGACTTTAAATAATAAAATTTCGAACATTAATAATTTTTTACGAAATATATATATTGAGGAAGACTGTCGTTACAGTCGAAACGTAGGTATACTTATAATATTCAATCTTATGTTAATAAATTAATTATTTGCACATCTAAATAATTAGCTAGGTATTCAAGTTGGCCTGTTATTTATGTTCTGTCTTCTTTTTCCCTTCAAAATTGTCGGACTAATTATATTTAACACCCTGTATATTTTATACATATAGCGATGTGATGCCATCGTGGCAATCATATGTGTTTATATCATATATTCACGTTAATATAATCTTATCAATAATTGCGTTTGTTACACCGGAAAAAAAATTTGACGTACAATCGCTCACGTCATACATCGTTTGCGAGGACCAATCAAGACTTCATAGTGGAACGATGATATAATTAAAATTGTTTAAGATTGACGTAATGTTCGTTCTGTGAATCATTCGTCTTCTCCATGAGGACAATCTGTGGATAGCCATTTCGCAAGAATTGCGTTCGGATTGTATTGGCAAGATTGGCAATGAAAGACTATCTCTCTCTTTTCTCTCTCATGGAACAATGTGTAGCGAAATCGATTATCTTCAAGGACGAGACCAGGATCGAGGGCCAAAAAGGTTCAAAAAGAAAAAAAACTGGAACGAACAGTGTTGCCACACATAACCTTCTTCATACTATTCTTATAGCACGCAATTGGGAAATATTGCGTTTTTTTTTAAATTATTTATTTTATTTTATTTTTTATTATTAATTAATTAATTAATTTATATATTTTTTAATTTTATTATTTTATTTTTATATTATTTATTTATCAAGAGACACGGTAGTGTCTCGCGATCAGTTTGCGGCATAGCCGAACGAAGCACACGCATGTATTTTAACACGATTTTATTTATATATATGTATATTTTATTTTATTTCTTATTATTTATATATTATTTTATTATTTTATATATATATATATATTTATTTTATTATTTTATTTTTTATCAAATTATTATTATTATATAGGGTGTCCCAGACCTACCGTATAACCTTTTAACGACAAATTCCTGGGACCATTTGGAGACGATTTTGTCTCATTGTTAGTGAGAATGTCGCAACAACAATAATTTTCGAGTTATAAGCGATTAAAAATAAAGTTTTTTGCAAACTAAGTCTTTGTGTGAAATAAATATTCACAAAATTACATTCTTCAGTTAATTTTAGGTGTAATTTAATAGAATTATAATTTAAGGCTTATATATAGTTGTACAAAAAGATACATATATATGATGGCAAAAATTGGGAACATGCAAAAACAGATAGCCTCCCAGTACATTTTTACAATTATTCAATCCAGAAATAAAATGTTCACCTCTATGTAATAAATTAAAAAATCGATATAATTGTGCAATACAATTTGTACCGCTATCTTCGAGTGTTTTTCGCATTCATGCATAATGCGGACGAAGTGACACAAAATCTATAATATACGTAACGTGATCTATAGATTTTTTGTCGCTTTATGCGCGTCATGCTTGAACCGAAAAGCACCTTTCCAGTTAATCTGGAGTAAAATCTCTCATGCGATGCTAAGCGATATAGCAATAGGAATTAACGATAGCAATAGAATAGCATCTACTCTGTTTCTATTGATGAATATTTTCTATTCCATCAACAAGAACAGAAAATAGGTGCCATTCTACCGCTATTGCCTAGTATTGTGCAAAAGATCCAATCCAAGTTATGTTTACACGTTCAGGCTTATCTTATTCCCATCAAGCTGAAATAGCCAATAATTTTCGAATGAGTCAAGGATTTCCTTTAGTACTAATATAAGAGTACGAAAAATTGGATGCTAATAGGATTGTGATCTAAATGTAAAAACCATTTACACCAATGCGATGTAGTAAAACCTTTTAAGCCTCTTCACCAAACGACTTTAAGTTCGATATAACACTTCGTTAGAAAAAAGCGTTTACACGGCATCTAACGTCAGTAGTTCTAATATCGATATTATAACTTGGACTTAAATCGGGTAAACGTATAGTCATATTGTCGTTTCTTTGATGCTTGGCAACATAGCAATATATAAGATTCGGTGTGTGCATTGCATATGTGTATTTGCAGCTCCTTAGATTCAAGGTTATCTCACTCTGTATATATACGTGTAAACCGCGTTCTGATTATGCATATACCCAGTGATTCATTTACAGATTAAATTATTCGTTGGCAATTTTTTCACTAAATTTTCTGTTAGCACTTACGGAATTCTGAATGTGGACGACTTCTCCTTCGTGACCCATTTTTGAATTGTGGTGTGCTTTCAAGAAATTATTGATAAGAATTGTATGAAATATTAACAACAACCGTGTACTTTGGTAACTCGAACGCAACTGATCGCTGATTGCATCTATATGACGAGTTTGACCATGATGTAATCGTACACAGTGTTGTTAGTCGAGCTGGTTTTCTCGCGCATGCGCTAGGCAGTGCAGGAAATAGTGAACGTTAAAATTTTGGCGGGATATTGACATAGAAATTGGGAACAAATATATAGAGTGTTCCATTTTAATATTCCACCCCAAATAATTTTTTTATTTTTGATGGTAGAAAAAAATGTTTCAGACAAAAGTTGTATGATTTTGAGGGAAACGTGAGATGATGCCATTAGTTTGATCTTGAATAGTTATTGCTTGAAGTTACGTGAAGGTCACCTTCGATTTCTTAAATAGAATCACCTATTTTTTATGTAGCTTTATTGTAAGAGTTTTTTTAAAATTCTATAATAAAATATTTTTTATTAAGTACTTTTGGAGTTATAACCCAGGTAGCAAGCTGACGTCATTCGACGTCAAATGACGTCATTTTGACGTTGATGACGTCATTTTGATGTTTAATAATATGTCAGCTTGCTACCTGGGAAAGATTTGAAGTTAACAATTTTTTGACATGTCTTATCCCAAGTAGAAAACAAAAAGTCAAAATAATATTTTGATGTTATATTGATCAAATTTAGAGTTCAAAATATATGACGTCATATTGACATTATTTTGATTTTTCTGTTCTACTTGGAATGTTCCCCTCAAATAAACCATACAACTTTTGTCTGAAACATTTTCTTCTACAATCAAAAATAAAAGTTATTTGAAATACGAGACATTAAAATGGAATACACACTCTCTCTCTCTCTCTCTCTCTCTCTCTCTCTCTCTCTCTCTCTCTCTCTCTTCTCTCTCTCTCTCTCTCTCTCTCTCTCTATATATATATATATATATATTATTATTAAATAACATATTCAAAATAGAAAGGCTATATATTAATTATATTATATATACATATTAAGAATAAAAATTAGGAATATAGAGTTATTATTTAATAAAAATATATACACTCTCTCTCTCTCTCTCTCTCTCTCTCTCTCTCTCTCTTAAGTATATTTTTATGTGCTATATATATGATTATCTAAACTAAATATGGCCGGTATTCACAGTTGGTTCTTAAGATCGTCTTAAGGCCTCGTTTAACCAATCAAATAGCCGCATAGAGTCTCTTGATTGATTGAACGAGATCTTAAGACGATCTTAAATATAAGAACGGACTATGAATACCGGCCTATATCTATATAAACATTATTCTAAATAATTTTAAAAAGTGTCATTTAAATGATCATCTATATATATAATTTTATTTACATAACAGCAAACACTATAACTTAGCTTATAAATTTAAGCAATATGGATTTAGATATTACTAATTAAATACAGTATATATAAGGAAATTTCTAATCCTGCTAGAACAATATTTTTTTATCATGTTCTTCAATTAAGGAGATGCTGGAGATGGTCTGTCTTACCGACCAAACTCCGATAAGTTAGCACCACATATAACCGCATATATGCATACATATATATGCGTGAAACGCGCATTTTACATATAACTTTTTTATTAAACTTGCAATCTCACTTCTAATTGTTCACTAATATTCCTTCAAGTTATTCCTTTCTCGCTAATTATATTTTATGCACAGACAAATAGCAGAACTTTTTTATTAAATAAGTATTGTTACGAGCTGATACAAGCAAGTCGATAACAAAACTGTAATTATTTAACTTTTTTGTTTTTTACATGAAATTATAATTAATGAAATAATAACGAGAACCGTTTTTATAAATATTTTAATTGTAGAAAAGGATTTACTGATCTGTATAGTTAATATATAAAAAGATTTGCAAATATCGCTATAATTGCATTCGGTCGGTAAAACAGACTATCTCCAGCATCCCTTTAATGGAAATTTTACTATATTAAAGGGAAAGAAAACAAATATATATATATATATATATATATATATATATAATAGATGTTGATATGGGTTCGTCCTATTACCCATACAGCACAGATTATTGCAATTATATTGCAGCAACATTGCAATGTTGCAAGTTGCAATGCAACATTATAAAGACATTGCAGAGATATAGGTGCACAAAATTCCAGCACACTTGTAGCAACATGACATTAATATTTCGGAAATATTGCATGTAATCCAAATTCTATAATTTATATATTGTAATATATATACATATACCCAGCAAACACCAAGTTACAGCTATATAATTGTTAGTTGTAATTTTCCACTCAAAAATATAATACGTGTATTATAACAATTATATTGTTGAGTGGAAAATTACAACTAACAATTATATAACTGTAACTTGGTATTTGCTGGGTATAATACTATAATAAAATAATTTTTTGCAATATTGTACAATAAAAGATGTTAACGATAATCAATAATTTTATTATCTTCCAAAAAGCGGACATTTTAACATTGCTGCAATTCAACAGCAATGATGTAGCAACATTTTGCAGTGAATTTGCAATATTGCAATATTGCGGTGAAAGATTGTTGTAATGTTTTTGCAATCTAACGGTGCTGTATGGGTATTACAAAAATACAGTCTTTAATGATTTTAACTTTTGTGAAGATTTTTTCTTATTTGTTTCTTTTCAGTGTATTATTAGAATATAACATACACACAGACTGCTATTCAGCAAGCAACACAGGCGACACAAAGTCACACTGTGTGCGACACAAGTGTTTTTTTACTATTACACAATATAACACAACCTTACTCAGCTCTTTAGCTAAGTCGCTTTGTGCTCAATTGTAGGTGCTTTCTAATTGTTTAACACATTTTAACACAAACATACACAGGAAGGCACAAAGTGTAGCGATGTGCACGACTCAATTGGAACAAAGTTAATATGCGACTTTTGAGTAGATAGTGAAGGATTTTTTATAACCATATTTATCTTGATATTTTATAATCCATGGCGATAGTGATGATCGAACTAATTGTATAATAGTCTATAAACAATAGGACATTTTAAAAAATTATATTAAATTTTTTATTTTTTCTGAGAATGTTGTATTTTTTTTAAACTATAAAAATTTTCCAGCAAAAAAATGTAGAAGAAGTTTTTATTAAATAAGTTTCCAAAATTTTTCTACTTAATTAATAGACTTTAGAAAATTTTATAATAAATATTATATTTTATAATAATAAATAATAAATTTTATAATAAATATAATTTTTATAATAAATGTATAATAAATTTTATAATAAATGTATAATAAATTTATAATAAATGTATAATAAATTTTATAATAAATTTTATAATAAATATAATTTTATAATAAATATAATTTATAATAAATATAATTTTATAATAAATATAATTTTATAATAAATGTATAATAAATTTTATAATAAATTGCTCGGTAACCTTAAGTTTCGCGTTGTCATCGTACGGTATCTCTCTGTAATCAGTTTCTAAGTAAAGTCCCTAGAGACTAGGGATTTTAGATTCTAGGGACTTTATTTCTAAAGACTCTAGTTCGGAATCTACCCGCCAGGATAAAAGGGCCGGCATGGGCGCGTTTAAGTTTATCTATGGTAGAACAATTGCGATAATAATAAAATGCAATATTGGAGTACATTAGAGCGATTTAGAAAACAAATTAAAAAAAGATATAAAATAGTAAAATAATTCTTATATTTCTAGTGCTTGTTCATAAAGTGTAATAAAGTGAATGGAAGTAAGGTGAAATAGATAACACAAAACTATCTCTCAATCAATTATAACTTCCGTCTTAACGTGGAGGGAATATATATTAGGTACATATATACATATATATATATATATATATATTATTATTATTATTATTATTATTATTATATATTATTATTATTATTATTATTATTATTATTTATTATTATTATTATTATTATTATTATTATTATTATTATTATTATTATTATATTATTATTATTATTATTATTATTATTATTATTATCATCTCTACTCCAGTTGATTTTCAAATGCATTTGTAGTGATTTGCTACTATTTTTATAAAATGTACAATAATTTATTATATATGAAATTTAAAATTTACTGAGAGAGACAAAATCTTTTCCTCCACATATGATCGTTGTTTTGGAGCATCCAGGCCAGCCAAAACAAATTACAGATTAGGAACTGCGAGTTATTTAAATTGTCAACATTTACAACATTTATTTTTTATATATTTAATATATATATATATATATATACACATAATATATTTAGATAATATATTTGGACGAACTCTCCAATGCTTCGGCAACAATGCTGCACTTCTGATGAAGCTTGCTCGAATGAAGGGTAGCCTGGTTTTGCTGCGGAGGCTTATTAATCGGGCCAAACGAACAGTCCAGCGCCGATATTTAAGCCTGACGACGATGGCGAAGAGCAAATTCGAGTACGTCAAGGATTTCGAACGGGACGACAACTGTTTGCAAAATTGTTGGATCGTAATTAGGATAGATGGCAGAAATTTCTCCAGATTCTGCGAGATTCATCACTTCGTCAAGCCGAACGATGTGCTGGCCTTGGATCTGATGAATCAAGCTGCTATCTCGGTCATGGAAGACTTCAAAGAGATTATACTAGGCTACGGTCAAAGTGACGAGTACTCATTTGTCTTTCGCAAGGACACACAACTCTATAAACGCAGAGGTATACAGCGGTGTTGAGAATTTCGAAAAGTTTACCTGCTCCAAGAGAATTAAGTTTATTCACAAGAGAGTAATAATATGATTAATTTTAGATGTACATTTATTTGTGTCTCTAACTTTAGAGGAATAAACATCTAAAGATAGATGTGAGCTCATAATATGATTACTGAAAACTGCATGTTTTACAAGATATTTTATTTTTCTTTCCAAAATACAGTAAGCTTCAAATCTCATAACTCAAAAAGTATTTAATGAAAAAATATTTTATTATAGTGTTTTGAAAAGCTGTTAAGATTTAAGCTATAAGAATATACAATAAAAAATAGCTTCTATATAAAAAATTGAAGGTGACTTTCAAATGATTATACAAGGTCCAACTAATGACATTATTTTATGTCACCCTCGAAGTCAAAAAACTTTTGTTTGAAACAATTTTTGTATTTCATGTTTGTCTCATGAAAAAATAGAAATTTGCATTTAAGAAATTGAAGGTGATCCTCATATGACCTTGACCACACTATTTATAATAATATCACTATGTAATGCACTACTTCAAACATTACAAGTTTTGTATTAAACACTTTTCAGAAATGAGTATTGTTCGAAATAATTAAGAGATCCAGTTCAGTTTTATAAGCTAAACTATTTGAAATTAATTAGTTAAAAAAATTGGCTTTTAAAAATGTATACATAATACTATATTAATATATAAAATTTTTCATTTATTTTATTGCTAATTGATTATATTTACAAACATGTTTTTCATACTATTTTCATATCTGTTTCAGCATCGAAATTATTGTCCAATGTAAATTCATTATTTGCTTCGGCGTACGTTTATCACTGGCCACGAGTCTTCAGGGGTAAAGAATTATATTATCCGCCATCGTTCGACGCTCGTGTTGTATTGTATCCGACAGATAAGAATTTAAGAGACTACTTAGCTTGGCGACAGGCTGACGTACATGTCAATAACTTATACAACACTTGCTTTTGGAATCTCATTTTAAAAGGAAAATTAACTCCAAGTCAGGTAATAAATATGTTTCAAATTTATTGTAATCTAATTGTATTCTAAAAAGCAAAAGATATATATGTAAATCTTATATACAATATTATAACTCAATAATTGTGTGCTATATATTTTGTACATATATATTTATTATACTATTATGATAGTTTATATTATATATATACTTTAATTTTTAATATAATATATAATAAAATATATATATTATATATATATATATATATATATATATATAATGATAAGAATATTTAATATTAAGAATATTATATCGGCTCTTATTAATATAACACATATACAAGATATACACCTCCTTCTTCACCGGCCATAGAGCCAAACGCGATGTTATTGCAGTTTCCTCAATTTTCTTAATTTCGCAATAACATCGCGTTTGGCTCTATGGCCGGTGAAGAAGGAGGTGTATATCTTGTATATGTGATATATATATATATATATATATATATATATATATATATATATTTATTAATAAGAGCCGATATAATATTCATAATATTAAATATTCTTATCATTAATATATATATATATATATATATATATATATATAAAATATATATTTTATTATATATTATTAAAAATTAAAGTATATATAATATAAACTATCATAATAGTATAATAAATATATATGTACAAAATATATAGCACACAATTATTGAGTTATAATATTGTATATAAGATTTACATATATATCTTTACACACACATATATACAGGGTAGGCCATTTTAATCTTTCCACTAAAATTTCTCAAAATCCGAAAGTTTAAGACAAAAATGTTTCAGATAAAAGTTGTATAATTTCAAGGGGGACATGAGATGGTGTCATTGATTTGACCTTGAATAGCCATTTAAAGGTAAAGTGAAGGTCAACTTCAATTTCTTAAATGGAACACTATATTTTTTCTTGCATACTTTTGTAGCTGACTTCGAGATCTTTCCAAAACACTACAATAAAATATTTTTTCATTAAGTATTTTTCGAGTTATTAAGGCTGCAAATTTGCAGTATTTTGACATAAAATACAAAATATCTTGGGAAATATTCATTTTTCGATTATCATACCTTAATACTTTTATGCACAAAATAATGAGATGAATCAGTTGGTGTAAAGAAAACACAGTTGCCTTTAAAAAAAATATGAAAATTGCAATAAGCAGTTAGATAATTTTTATTTAAAACAACTATGTGTTTTCTTTACACCAATTGATTCGTCTCATTATTCTGTGCATAAAAGTATTAAGGTATGATAATCGAAAAATGAATATTTCCCAAGATATTTTGTATTTTATGTCAAAATACTGCAAATTTGCAGCCTTAATAACTCGAAAAATACTTCATGAAAAAACATTTGATTATAATGTTTTGGAAAGATCTCGAAGTCAGCTACAAAAGTATGCAAGAAAAAATATAGTGTTCCATTTAAGAAATTGAAGTTGACCTTCACGTAACCTTCAAATGGCTATTCAAGGTCAAATCAATGACACCATCTCATGTCCCCCTTGAAACCATACAACTTTTATCTGAAACATTTTTGTCTTAAACTTTTGGATTTTGAGAAATTTTAGTGGAAAGATTAAAATGGCCTACCCTGTATATATATATATATATATATATATATATATATATATTTTGTATATTATATTAATATTATATAATCTTATATATAATATAATATATATATATAAGTTTTATATATACTTAAATAGTATACTAAATTATATATAATTAAAAAAAAATCATTTTATTAAAAAAATATTTTTCTTTCTACATTGCAGGCAGAAGAAAAGCTTAGAGGCACTCTAGCATCGCACAAAAATGAGTTACTTTTCCAAGAGTTTGGTATAAATTATAATAATGAATTACCATTGTTCCGGAAGGGTACAACGCTGATCCGGAAATTGGTGCCGGACGGTACAGGAAAATTAAAAACTGCTATTGTACCCTTAGTAGACGATATTATCGGCGACCGTTTTTGGAAAGAGAATCCCGAAGTAATCGGTTTGAAGAGTTTAACGACTTATCAACCATCGTATTTAGTGAATAGTAATGCGACATCCGTGCCTCCTTCACCCACCGTAACAAAACACGGAAATAAGGTTTCGTCACAAGTGATCAATGTGAATTCGAAGGAGGAAGCACACCCTAACAGAAACAGAGAGACAGACGGAGATCGAATGCAGTGCGAGAGTGAACGCAGAAAATAAATTTGTATTTTCTTCCTTTTTGTATATAATAAAATAGTATCAGAATTGTATCTATATTTTATAGTAAGAGATTTCTATAGCAGATTCATTAAGGCTCCTGGGTCCTCGTCGCGGTAATGTTAGATTGTGACGTCATAGGCGAGGAACCAGAAACCTTAAAATTTTATCAAGAGAATCCTATTAATAAATAAAAGAATGCTGCAGCAAAGGAAGAAACTTCCTTAAAAAATATGATATGATACATGTAGTGTACATAAAGTTAAAAATTATTTATTGTATTAGTAATCGTATGGAATGCAGTATATATTTTATTATTTGATATTTACAATTATGAATATAATTAACTACTTTAAACAACTATTTTATATTTTCAACATAGAATAACATATGATTTATATTAAAGATTATAATAAACGCTAATATATGCACATACTCGTACAATACAGATTTTGCTATTCCATTTAAACTTTAAAACAAAATACGACTAATTCGAAATAATAATTAGCATGATATGTGTGCAATAAGTCATGTGCACACGTGTTATCCATATTTGACGGATACATACATACTTGCATATTTTTCAATTTTCTAAAATAAGTTTCCTGGATAATAATTTTCATACAATTTCAGAAGACTTCTTCGACAACAATTACAATTAATATTATATATTTATTATTAATATAAATAATAATAATTATTATTATATTAATGTAAAATAATAATTATCTAATTCGCCACATTAGATGAAACAAAAATAGGCCTTAATCATGATAAATTAATTAATTACCTTATTGTTGCAGAAGAAAATGTAACATTACAGCGATTTAATATGTTCCATTAAAATATAGGGATATAATTATCTATTTTAGCACGATGCTTCTGAGCAACGCATTCCGCGATCCAGACAATATTGCGACACTCTTGTTCCTTCAATTTTAAGTAGCTATAGAATACTCCAAAGTGAAATTGTTGTAGAAATGCATGGACGTTCAAACGAACCTGTGTGAATACCAAGAAATTAAAAAAAATTTCACCACTAATATTATTATTAATATATAAGATGCATCATTAATGTTTACATATATGTATTTTTATATGACGTAATAAATATACTTGCTTCATGTTCGAAGAACTTGTCCTCCAAGGTTTTGTCGCCAGGATTGTTACCCGCGCCCTCAAATAAAGCGCTGTATTCCTGTTTAGGACATAGAGCGGAGAGAAAATGTTAATTTAAAAGAAGCTTATACAAAATTAATAATTATACAGAGTACCCAATTTTAATTGACCAAAAAGTTTCAAATAAAAGTTACTTTATTTAAAAGACAGAAGATAGCGCTACTAATCTTTTTCTGAAGAAACGTTTTCAAGGCCATTTAAAGATCATTTATATCTTTTTAAATGAAACTGCAATAATTTTTTTTATATAAATCGATTCTTCGTAATTTTTTGCATAAGAAGTTATTTTATTAAAAGTTATTAATTATTTGCATCAGTAGATTTTTTCATTATTTTATGCATGAAAATATTGCGGAAAAATCGTTAAGAAATAAATATTTTACAAGATATTTCATAGTTTATATATTTCAGTGTCAAACTCAAGTATAAAATATCTCGTAAGCTATTCATTTTTTGCTATCTTATTCTTATAACTTTTTATGCCAAAAATTGTAAGGAATCGGTTTATATAAAAAAATTATGCAGTTCCATTTAAAAAAACAAATGATCTTGAAAAGTGCTCTTCAGAAAAATCAATAGCGCCATCTTCTGTCCTCTTGAAACATTTTGTTATACAATTAAAAATAAAAAATATAAAAATAAAAATATTAAAAATAATTGAAACTAATACAATTAAAATTAAAAATAAAAATAAAAGTTTTTGTAGATGGTCGATTAAAACTAGACATCCTGTATATTTATATAAGCTAAAAAAGGCTTTAAATAACATATTTAAAGTTTTTACTAACAGCATAATATTCTGCTACAGCCTTCACTTGTTCATAATCGTCAGCTCTTGCCAAGGCAGCTAATCCATCTGGATTCAAACGTCCGCAGCGTGGATACAATTTGGCACGATCATCTTTACCTAATTCAGTTCCAAATGAATTAATGGTTATAATGATTGCCCTTCTATCTGCTTCAAACTGAAAGATATAAAAATAATGTCATCTATTTTATTTTGCAATATGCATATTATCATTTTATAACATAATAAAACGTCTTACAGCGAGTATTTCACACATAGTATCTGCAGTTGTACCACCAAGGTCTTTGCAAAATTTATAAAATGCTTCCAAATAAGCCTTGTAAAGTGTATTCCTTATTATCTCAATATTCATCTCGTCTAAATCTTGCTCAGATATGCAATCCACAAAGAAGGGTGCTGTAAAATAAGCGTTGCACATTTCAGATAAATAAATGATGTTATACAATAGAATGCAAGAATGAAGAACAATATAAATAACAAGTTTAACTCAATATATTTCATACCTAAGGGCGTGTCTACCAATACAGCGTTGTACAATTCAGCAGGTGTTGCAGCGACATGAATCGCCTCCATTTGCTCAAAACTACCAAGCGGATGGCATTTTGGGATTAATTCCGAAATGGGTCTCTGATGCAGAGTGCCAGTGATTAACAAAATAATATTGTCGATCATATAACTGTAAGTAATGAAATCTAGGAATTGAGACAGGGGTTCAACGGAATGATTGCGCATATGTTGAAATTCCACCACCAGTTTTTCCCTCAACTTGTCATCAATCACACTAACTGCGAGCGGAGATGGTTCATTTGCCAAGAAGCTGCCATAATCCGTACCAGCCAAATGTAGTTTCAGATCTAGAAATAATTAATTAATTTGAGCAAAAATTATTTGTTAATAAAACAGATTAATCAAAAAGGTACAAATTTTAAAGATTGTATTTTTCTGATGTGACTTTTAAATCATCTTAAAGTTATATGTAAAATATATAGATTAAAATAATATAATAATAAAAATAATAATAATAAATAATTCGAAAAATAGTTCGAAAAAAAATATAAAATAATTGAAAAATAAAATCAAGTAATATAAAATAATATACCTTCGAGCGTTTCGCATTGAACCAAATTCAGATAATCGCTCTGTTGAAGAATACCGCATTTGAAGCCACGGCATAATCCTTCCAAATAGCCGCCGTCGATATTGAATATGCATCCCTTCATTCTGCAACGATATTTTCCTCGTTCACGTGAAAAAAAGTCCGATCTGTCAAGTTCGAAACTGGGTCTCACGACTCGCCCCTTTTTTCACGAAAATCATATGACCGAGCGACGGAAGTATACTGCGAACTGTCATGCACTGAGTTATCGATATCTCGATGCTCTCGATTCTCTCGAAATATACGCGCGCGCAATTTTGAAATACGAGATTCTGCACACAGTAGAAAAATTACTAGGAATAGGAATAAATATATATTAAATATTAGGAATAAAAATTAAATATGTAATGAAAAAGCGCAATGAAAAAGAATTTAAAATAAAAAATATAATTATATAAAATTATATATTTAATTAATATTAATTAAAATCAGGGTTAGGTAATAATTAGTTAATTTTAAAAAAAGTTAAAAATTAATAACTTTTAACTTAGCTTAGTTAATTTAAAATGTATTAGTTTTTAACTTTAACTAGTTATTTTTGACTTTCAACTTATTAATTTTTTTCCTAAATTAAATTCTTTTATCTCTGAATATCATTATTGTTTTTATAAGTTATAAACGTATTATTTTCAAATTAAAGTATTATTAACTTTTATGTTCATTTGTCATCAATTATAATTACCAAAAAAATATATTTCTATATAAAAATCAAAATTTCTTTTGTTATTTGTTATTATACATTTTAAAAGAATTAACAAACAAAATTCTAATTTAATATAAATAATGTTTTTAAAAATTAACTTTTGATTTAACTTCAGTTAATTTAATCTTAACTTAACTTTAACTGATTGTGAGTTAATTTTTTGTTTATGCAAACTTTCAACTTGACTAGTAGCGAATTCGGTTGGATGCACTAGTGCGCACTGAGTGCACATAAAGGTTATCGCACACAATTTTACAATGACATAAATAATTAAAAAAATAAAATAATATTAATAGTAAAAGCTATTATATTATCATTATTTATATTAAACAACTATAATAATAGCTCTTACTATTAATTTTCCTTGTTTAATTACTTTTGTCATTGTAAATTTGTGAGTGATAAACCTTATGCGCACTAGTGCATCCAATCCAATTCGCTATATAAGCCACTAATCCAACATTGATTAAAATTATATACAAATATTAATATATAGAAATAAATATAGAAATATAAATATATAGAAATTGTGTCAAGCAGCTGTAATATAAACACACTAGTAAAAAAAAAAAAAAAAAAAAAAAAAAAAAAAATAGGGAACACTTTTTAAACTTAGGCCATTTCAAACTGTTGAAACTCGGCAAAAATTATCGTAAGTCAAATATTAAAAAGTGTTTTAAAGCTCAAAGTTTCAACTTTAACACACAGTCAATGAATTTAATTTTTAAATTTTGTTAATCTTCCCTATTGTATATGCTTTAAAAACGAAATACTGTTTTGTTTCTTAAAATTATGTATCTTTGACAATTTGAAATTCGATACAAAAATTTCTTTCAAAAAATTCAATTAATGTTTCAGAAAGTACATTTTTCCTATAAGACGCTTTTTTTAAATTTTCTATGATTTTTTTTGACTGATTTATACGATTTTGAAGTAACTCCTATATTTTTAGAGATTATGTCGTAACTCGGTGAAAAATCATCGTAGACAAAAGATTAAAAAAGTATTTTAAACCTCGAAATGTCAACTTTAACGTGCTATCGGTGATTATAAAAATTTTTCTATCTTCCTTATTTGGTGCTAAATCTAAAAATAGTGATTTGTTCCTTAAAATTGCACGACGATTTGACGACGAATTGACGTCGATTCATCGTTGAATCAACGTCGATTAGATAAATCGATATCAAATCGATCATTCATTTCTGGTTGGACTAATAGCACACAAATACCGAAAGACATTTAAAGAACATCCAGAGGATGTTCGAATGTCCTCTAGATATCCTTTGAATGTCTTTTGGATATGTTGTGCTGTTAGGGTCTTGGATGGTTTAAAAATATACTCAGATCTTTTATCAAAAGTTTTAAAAGAAAGTAAACAATATATAAACGTTTCAATATTTATTTAATAATTCAATAGGTCTACGAAGTATTAATATTGCTGCTACATATAAAATGATGTTATCTATAATTAACTATATTAATTTAATTATACAATAAGCGTACGGCGGAATGTGTGTCGGATACTTTGAAATGACACATGTATACACACACTCACATACACACACATACACACACACACACATGCATACATATAAAATTATTTATATCACATATGTATTTTTACAAGTGTTTAGAAATCACGTGATATTGTACTTTTTCGAAGATAACGTCCCAAGTAGCAAACTGACGTCAAAATACGTTATTTGACGTCGAATGACGTTATTAGACATCAGAATGACGTTAGTTTGCTACTTGGATTCTAATTGAAAACATAACGTATAATATCTACGAAACACTATTGGCTTTTATATGTCGTCAAATTTTTTGTACATATATATATAATTAATTTATGTTTATATCGCCATTCAAATTAAATTAAATCGCGAGAGAGACGAATTCATGGCAAGATCGTGAATCAGCATCGTCGAAATGCAGTTATATATTATATTATAAAATATGTCATTAGACACAAGTATAATAATATAATGAGTAAAATCTAAATTTCTTCTATAATCTAATCGTTCCAAATTGTTAAATATGAAACATGAAATATATCGATATTACATATATATATATATATTTGTGTGTATGTATATATATATATATATATATATATATATATATATATATGTATACATACATATATCATGAAATATATCGATATTATATATATATATATATATACATATATGTATATATATTACTGTCATCTAGGCAGTGTTTGTTCTTCGGAACAATATCAACGAGAAAACAAAGTGTTTTCTCTCGTCGATATATCGATTGCACGTGATACAGTAGAGTCTCGTTAATTTTGGCTTAAATAAAATTCTTTAAAAAATTGAAAGAACAGCGAGAAAGCTATCAAGTCTCTCAAAATGATAAAAGAAGACACGAAGAAGATAAAAAAAACACAAGTATATATGAAATTAGTTGTTTGTGTGGAGAGATTATTAATTAAACAAAATTAACAGAGGCCAAATTTAAAAAGCTTTACTGTATCTATTTCGATTATATATATATATATATATATATATATTATAATTATTGTATATGTGTTATATAGTAAATGTTTATATACGTAGGCCTTCAATAATAAACACAACATTTTTTACATTTTTTCTATAAACAAATTTTTGCTATTATTGATTTGAAACGTGTTATTAATTAATGAGATGTAATGTTTTAACTACAATAATTAAATTATACACTTTGTTAATTTAATTTTGCTTTCTTGAGAAATAGAACAAGACATATACGATATTAAAATGTTTGTAAAAATATATATGTGTGAAAAAAATACCAAAAGTAACAGAGACAACTTTATAAAAGTTTTACTGTATATGTGTATACACAGGGTGTCCGGTAACTAACGGACCATCGATTAAGGGCGGATTCTCTGGCCAATTTGGAGACGATTTTTCCTTAGCAAAAATGTTGAAAAGTCAATAATTTTCAAATTTATAAGCAATTAAAAAAAATAGGTTTTTTGAAAACTAAACGTTTTGGAGTTAAAAGTGTAACATAATTACATTCTTCAGTTAATTTCAGGTAGAGTTTACTATAATAAAATTTTAATTTGAGGCTTAGTTATAAAAATACATAATGACAAATATTGGAAAGTTGTAAAAAATGATGACCTTTTTCGACATTTTCGCTGAGGAAAAATCGTTCCCAAATTGACCAAAGAATCCATTTGTAATCGTTGGTCTGTTAGTTACCGGACACCCTGTATATATGAGGCATTCCATACCAAATCGCTCACTTTTGTACCCGAACATTTTTTATTTGCTTCATTTTTTTTTATGTTTTTGCACTTATTGAAAGTAGTTTTTATGATTTTTTTTAGATTTTTATTTCCATCCATACTCGAGTTAAGAATTAAAAAAGGAAATTAATAAAAAAAATTTCAAATAGCTATTACTTTAAGAAGAATAAAGATATTAGCATTCATCTGGTGGTCATATTTTTTGTTTTTGAATGTATTTTTCGAAAAAAATATTGAAAACAATTTTTTTAAATAATTTGACAATGTTTTAATCAATTTTAACCGAAATTATTTTTTTCTCTCAATAAGATCCCTTCGATTTTTTTCTAAAAAATTGATAAAATTTTTGGCTTAAATACAAAATTTTTGAGCCATAAGCGAAGAGGAGATTCAAATAACTTCGATTTTTAAGACTATTTTTTTGCATTTTTTTTTTTTTTTTTTTAGAAAATTACCTTTTTTAATTTTATATATGACTCCGATAAAAAAAAGAGTTTACAAAAATAATAATACTTATTCTTAAAAGTTAAAAATAGAGAAAAATAATTTTAATATTTTTTAAGACTATTTTTTCGTTGTTTTTCTCGAAAATAATGTTTATTAAATTCTTAGATGACTTCTATCAAAAAGGAAGCTTTGTAAATAAAAGACATTAATTAAATAAAACATATTTTATTAAAAATTATAACATAATAACATTTATTTTTTAATAGCTTATATAAATAATTTATTAAAATAATTTATTAATTATTTTCTTCTTTTTCTTTGTTTTTCTGTATTTTTATATATTTCGTAAGATTTTATATTAGTTGATTGAGAAAATCTTTTAACATTAATAATTTTATCCGTATTATGTATAACGCAATGCATTTTTTGTGTTTCTGGTATAGGTTTAGCACTGTTAAAACGATCAACTAGCTCAGTTTTCATCAAATCGTAATTTTTTTTTGAAGAAAATTTAACTTTAATATTGGGCAAGTTATTTAATTGAGAAGCCCATTTATAGAACTCTTATGGTGTTGTTATTTGCCGATCATGAAGAAGTTGAAGACTCGCTCGAGCAGCCATTCTTTTTACAGTACCACCTATACCATCACAAGGGCCTTTACAATGCTCAGTAGCAAAAAAATGCCTCTCTGCTTGAAAAATACATTCAAAAACAAAAAATATGACCACCAGATGAATGCTAATATCTTTATTCTTCTTAAAGTAATAGCTATTTGAAATTTTTTTTATTAATTTCCTTTTTTAATTCTTAACTCGAGTATGGATATAAATAAAAATCTAAAAAAAATCATAAAAACTACTTTCAATAAGTGCAAAAACATAAAAAAAAAATGAAGCAAATAAAAAATGTTCGGGTACAAAAGTGAGCGATTTGGTATGGAATGCCTCATATATATATATATACAGTAAAACTTTTATAAAGTTGTATATATACAGGGTGTCCTATTTTAATCTATCACCCCTCATAACTTTGCAGGAAGCAATCGTAGAGAAAAATGTTTGGAACAAAGTTGTATGGTTTCGAGGGGAACATAAAAACGTACCATTAATTTGACATTGAATAGTCATTTGAAGGTCACGTAAAGGTCATCAACAATTTCTTAAATGGAACTACCTACTTTTCATTGCATATTCTTGTAGGTTATTTCAAGAACTTTCCAAAACACTATAATAAAGTATTTTTTATGGAGTACTTTTTGAGTTATAAAGGTTTGAAGTTAACAATTTTTTGACATAAAATTTAAAATATCTTGTAAAATATTCAGTTTTTTGTAATCTTACCTTAATACTTTTATGCATGGAATAATGAGACCAAATAATTATTTTAAAAAGGTATGTAATATGCAATAATGCAATTGCGTATTTTTTTAAAAACAACTATTTGTTTTCTTTATATCAATTAATTGATCTCATTATTCCGTGCATAAAAGTTATATATATATATATTATATATATGGCACAACGTTAATTATTTTTATTTCAAAGTGTCTATTAAAGAAAAATTTGTAAATAATATATAATTGTAGTATAGTTTAACAAATAGGATAATTGTTTTCTAAATACAGAAATTATTTACATATTTGATGCCACATTAATTATTTGTTTCATATTTAAAACTTTAAAGCTCCTGGTTCCTCACCGACCATGTTGGAATTATGACGCCAAAGGCGAGGAAACACACATTTAAAAATTCTTAAATGCCATCTAGAAATAAAAAAGTAGTATGCTAAAGCTATCTGAAGTATTATTTTATCGAAATATCTTTTTATTTAAAATAAATATGGTATCTAAGAAAATTTTCAAAGTGTCTTTTCTTATCTCTGATGTCACAATCTAACATGACTGCGGCGAGGATCCGACCCAGAAGAGCTTTAAATAAAATACATTAACACTTGTTGCTAAATAATATATTATAGAGATTAACTGTTAATAGCGATAATATATATATGATGATTATACTTGATAGAGAATATTTCGCTTCTTATTTTTCTCATTTTATAATTTAGACCATGATGAGGCACAAGCGAAAAACTATATATATATATATATACATTATCATTAATCGTCATGACAGTTGTCGAACTTTTGCAAATTGCTAACGCAATTGTTATATTTTTATATTCATATATATTTATCTGTTTTAATTTTCAATATATTTATGGCTCGATAAATAACACGAGAGCACACATACACAAACATGACGTATGCATCATCGCACGAAAAGTTAATCATTAACCGGATATGATGATTAAAAAAAATGTTCGCGTTTATCGATAATTAATCATCACATTAGATGATTAGATCATTACATGAGAGACAGATTTATGTCAAGCTTCGGTCAGGAGATTATTTATTTTGTCCTCGATGTGGTATATATCTTTCTTTAAGAAATCAACGTGCCTTAATTTGTAACACATTGATGAAAATTTTATCTAACGTATATAGAAAAATATGCGTGTAATATATATAGTTTATATCATATATTGTCGTAAAACTAGTATTTTTCGCAAGAATATCCGAAACTCAGAATTTATTCATTTTCGATCGACTATTTCATACGATCGATCAGACACTCGATGAACTAAAAATCAAAGATCTTGATCTTCATCGTCTTCACCACCGAAATTTTCTTCGCTATCCTGCCGATCAATCGCTATAAATTCGGCCTTGAAACCTTTGTTCGAAATTGTATCGTCCGTTCTAAATCTTACTAGTAGTGCTTCGCTCATAGAAATAAAATCCGTGGTATTCTACAAGGTAGCGGCAAAATTTTATATATAACAATTGTTATCTACGTATCAAAATACGAGAATTATTCAGTAAGTAAAGAGATAAAACGGCTGCAGTTCAAAAAATATTTAAATAACAAGTACAAGCAAAAAAATCTGATACATTTTTCAAATTTAGAGTTTGCTTTGGATATCCGGGTATCTAACATTATTGGAGGATTAAATTAAGTTAAATTTTTTTATCTCTGAATACCATTATTGTTTTTTATAAGTTAGAAATGTATTATTTTTAAATTAAAGTATTATTAATTTTTATGTTCATTTGTCATCAATTGTAATTACCAAAAAATATATTTCTATATAAACATCAAAATTACTTTGTTATTCGTTACAATATTATAAATTTTAAAAGAATTAACAAACTAAATTTTAATTTAATATAAATAATGTTTTTAAAAATTAACTTTTGATTTAACTTTAGTTAATTTAATCTTAATTTAACTTTAATTGAGTTAATTTTTTGTTCGTGCAAACTTAACTAAATTAATTTCATAAGCAACAAACTTAGATTTAAAAAATTATTAACATATCCAATACTACTAAAGAATGTGGTTATATTATATTTTATTTCAACAAGTTTAGTTTGCGAAAATTTATTTTTAATTATTTATAATTTAAAAATTATTGGTGTCTTGACATTTTTACTGAGAAAAAATAGTCTCCAAATAATTTCAAGAAATTGCTTATTAACGAGTCTGATAATTTTTGGGACACCCTGCATATAAAACCTCTTACATTCAAAAGAAGTCAAAAAGTATATTTTTGAAGAACGGTGTTTAGTATTATATAAGATTTCTGATTTCTGAAGGTGTAAAATCATCTAAGAAATTTATTCCCAAATACTCGAACAATACGTTAAAATATATAAATGAATAAATACGAATATTTTAGAAGTGGATATTGATCAGTTTAGTGGCCAAAAAAGAAAAATTCAAAAATTAGGTTGGGAGGTTCTATCACATTTTTATAGTGTCCAAACTTCATCTCATTGGGCTCGGTTATTATATGGAATTAAATTTCACAGTCACAAAGTAAAAACTAATGTCCAAACTTAGTTCAGATTTCGAGACAAAGAATTCTTTGTTATTAATATAAAAAACCAAATAGAGCGATGTGATAGGTTTATAAATGTAGTACATGATTATATCAAAAAATAAATTATTAGAATTCATTAAATAAAATTGTATTAAAACAATAGTCATTCGTCTCTTTACTTATTGAATGTTTCTCGTATGCGCTCATATCATATACGAGTATGCATAAAATATAATAGTTAAAATAGTTGACTATTGAACACTTACGGAATTACCGCAAAATCGCCCATATGGCGGACTGGACGCATCTAAACCGGAGAATACTTCAACAAAGTCATATCCGCATTCGGCTTCGTATTCGAGTTGGAATGAATTAAAAGTCAAATGAACGTTTTTGCCAAGTGGTGCTTCTATTACCCAGTCACAATCGGTTCTTTGATCGTAATTGTGATAACCATATTTAGCATGGGAATACAAATGATTTACTGTATCCGTTGCCATAAGATGACCACCACAAGCTGTAACATGTGTAAGTATTATATTTTAAAGTGTGCATATGTGTATATTTGTATATGTATATGCATAACAGAGTGACCAGTGTTTTCCACTACGACACAACCCAGACAGCACCATGTCCAAAATTGATGGTTAAAACATTTTTAAGATGTTTTAGGATGCCTTTTTAGAATATCATAAGATTTCTTAATAGTGTCTTATGCACCAATTTTGGACACAATGCTATCTGGGAAGTAGACCCAATTATTATGCATAAAACGCTGTGCTCGATTGCGTCATCGTTTTTGGATACTAACATTTTTACATTATTGGTATCAAGTACAGATATTGATTTTGGAATTAGAAATTTTGTGTTAAGACTCAATTATAAATTGCCACATTATTGAGGAATTTACCTGTGCTATGAGTCGCTAAAAATCCTTTCCTTTGCACGGAAGCGTCACTCTTGAAAACCATGTACATTTGATTGCCAGTTGCTAGAATTGGATGCGGCTCTTTGGTACCACAGAATCTACCTAGAGTAAGGCTGTCTGGCGAATCTCCGTCGTAAATAGCAATGTGATCATACGCGCATTCTTGATGCGACTCCATTTCGAAAACTTTGAAGATCTACAAAATATACATTTAAAATTTTTTCCATTCCCAAGTAGCAAATTGACGTTATTAAACGTCAAAATGACATTATTCTGATGTTTAATAACGTCGTTGGACGTCAAAATGACGTTATTTTGACGTTTAATGACATCAGTTTGCTACTTGGGATATAATGTTTGTTTTTCCAAAATTTCTCGTTTCTTTTTTCTACTAAAGTAAAATTAAAATATGTCGCTGATCACTAACTGTTACTCGAAAAGCAATACATAAAGATACGTACCAATTTTATCCGATGGCCTGGTTTCGTGGTAAAATGCCAGACGCAATCTTTACGGCCGGGATAATAATCCGGATAATTCGGTGAGGTAATTGTTCCCACGGGCGCCGTAATCTCGTATTTGCAACCGCCCTCTTTGCAATCATGACCGTTTTCATGAAGTGTAAAACCGTTGTGGCAGGAGCACTGATAAGAACCTAGCGTGTTTTTGCACTCGTGCTGACACCCACCATTGTTAGTGGCGCACTCATCCTTATCCGTAAAAAATATGGCAGCGAAACCCGACTTTTGGATGCTGTTTGATAAAACATGTAACGCAAATAACAAATATTAATCGTATTTTTCGAAATATCGTATCCCAACATTTACGCTAATGTGAATTTTATGTAAGACCATTTTTAAACTACTAAATAAAAATGTTATAAAATAATTATTTGTATATAAAATTAATATTTTCGAATTATATATTTAATTTTCACATAAAATATGATTCCTAACATATTTTGACTTTTTTACAGTTTCTGCGTCACAAACTTATTTCTAATTTTAATAAATGTATTATATGTTATTAATATATATGTATATTATTCACAAAATTAAATTACTAATTAATTAATTTAATTTTAAATATTTCTAAGCGAATAAACAAGATCGAGAAGAGAGGACCAAGCCAGCACACAATATTTATGATAAAGTTTTATAAATATTAATGAATATATATATTTTTCAAATATTATATAAATATTTTATAAAAACCTTTATTTTTAACATATGTATATTATTAAAACATAGATTAAATATTTCATATAATATTTATAGTTATTATTTTGTAAATATTTTTTAACTAAATTGTTAGTTCTTTCATTTACCGCTATGTGATGTATCTTTTTCGTATTTGATTTTCGTCGTGAGAATTATATAAGGCTGGCAAAAACGGAAATTTATAAAATTAAAAATGTCATAAAATTATTTCTATTTTTGAGCTACATTCTGCAACAGAATGCCTTTTAACAAATAAATTTACGTATATATCGATGTGTACGTAAATTTATTTGTTAAACTACTGTGTTGCCTAAGTATATTTAATGTATATTATAATTTTATATTCTATTTTAAAATAAATGTCTAATAAGTTACTTACAAACATTTTTACACATTTTTAACTTTTTATAAATGGCTAATAAAGTTTAATAAACATAAAAACATCTAATCAACCAAATTTTAGATTAGACTATATCAACCGATCATTTTGATTAAAAAATTGTTGATTATGTCTTTTTAACTCATAATTTTTTACTAAGTATTTATTAAAGATAAATTTTAAAAAATTTGTATCAATGAATTAATAAATATATTTATAATATTTATCATAATATTTATATAAATATTATATAAATATTTTCTGATATTTATGATAAGTATTTCTAATCTATTGAATCTAAGACTCCAAAAATATTTATAAAATATTTATAAAATATTAAAATAATTATTATAAATATTCTATAAATATTTTATAAATATTTTGTGCTGTCTGGGAAAAGAGACAGAAAGAGGGAAAAGGAAAAGGGAGAACGAAGGGAAGAGCGGAAGAGAGAAAAGGAAGGAGAAGAAATTTTTTGCAAAAACGAAAAATTATTTTATCCATCGGTTACTAAGAGATAAATTTTTACCAAAACATATAATAAAAAATTAAATCTTCTATTTTTTTTTTCATTTTTCACAAAGTACAAGTGATTTAATTTAACTAGTAAACTAAAAATACTGAAAAATATGACAATTATATAAGTGCGTATGAAATAAAACCTGTTATCAGACGTAAAGGTGATTCTCATAAAATTGCCTTCGGACGTTATTAATGGCGGTAATCGTGCGCCGCAAAATATCCCATGCTTTCGGAGAACGTCGTCGCCGAGCTTACTCGCGACCTCCATGGAATCGTACTCGCATTCTTCCTGATATATATTATTACCCTCTAGATCGAAATGTGTGAAATTTAAAGTAATGCGATATTGCGGCGGCGCAATAATTTCCCAGATGCAATTTTTGTTTCCTGGATACGGCTCGGGAAACGATGGACTCGTGATAGTGCCGTTTTTAGCATCAAAAAATCCACCGCAAGCGTCTAATCAAAGGATTTTATAGAATATTATTATTCAGAGATCAAAAGGATTCTAAACGCCGTCCGGTTTTATCGATAAAACATGTTTGCGCACCCTTTTCTTTTTATTGGTTGAATAGAATATTAAATGTTTTTCCACGATTAAAGTACGTAAAAAATGTTTTTAAATTTTTATTTTTATTTGTAATTTTTTAATTTTTATTTTAAAAAATTTTTATTTTTAATTAAAAATTTTCTTGTTTTTAACATAAAATTGGTAAGATCCGCGTTTTATTTCTATATGTACTTTAATTGTGGAAAAACATTTGTTTTTTTATTCAACCAATAAAAAGAAAAGGGTGCGCAAAAATTGTATCGATAACAGAACGGCATTTAGGATTCTCAAGATTATCTATAAGATTATCTAAGCGGATTAAATAAATTATTCCGCATTCAAAATAATTATTGTGTCTCTTGCCTTCGCAATGCTTGCCGTCCGAATGCAGCTCGAAACCCGATTTGCAAGAACATTCATATCCACCGAGCGTATTGATGCAATCGTGCTCGCAACCATGTTCTGTTAATACGCACTCGTCGAATTCTTAAATATTATTAAAAAGTAGCATTTTTTACATTTATATACCAATTGTAGCATTAAAAATGATCATAAACAATTGTAATAAACATCTTTCACATAATAATGAGGAACTGTGTGCTGAGCAATATGTAACATACTTGCTATATATATATATATATATATATATATATATATATATATGTTATATGTTACGAACCTTTCATAAAAGTTGCTGTGTGCTGAGCAATATGTAACATACTTGCTATATATATATATATATATATATATATATATGTTATATGTTACGAACCTTTCATAAAAGTTGCCGAGAAGCCAGCTTTTTGCACGGAACCGTCACTGACGAACTTAACAAGTAGCTTATTCCCCGTTGACTTGATGTCTGGTGGTATCTTGTATCCACAATAAACGCCGATTAAAGGGGAATCGTTGTTATGCCCGTCACGCACCTCGACATAATCGTACACGCAGTTGTCATGGTTCTCGATTTCAAAGGACTGGAACTTCAGGGCCACCTGATAGTCCTGGGGTACAGATAGTTTCCACACGCACTCCTTACTGGATTGATATTCCTCAGGATAATTAGGCGATTCAAGATGACCTATCCCGTCCAGTTCGACGTCGCCACCGCAAACAGCTTCGTAACTAGCCGTGAAGCCACGGTGGCCACTTTGCCTGCTAGATGTCATGTACGTTACCAGCATACGACTTCCACTTGACACTATTGGCTCGTGCATTTTACCGCTGCCGCAATATCGACCTGAATTGGAATAATTATCGAACATGTTATTATGAGAAGATTAGGGAATCGATTTTTTATTGCCTGTCAAGTTGATTATTCCTCTCACAATGTACCCAGGTAGGAACAGCAGTCACTTTGACGTAATTTGATGTGATAATGACTACCCAGATAGCACCATGTCCAAAATTGGTGCATAATACATTATTAAGAAATCTTATGATATGATATCCCAAAGACATTTTAAAAACATCTTAAAGATGTCTTATGCACCAATTTTGAAGATGGTGCAGTTTAGGTACTTTTGCTATCTGGGTACAACACTCGATCTCTTCCTTATATTCGAGATAATTGTTGGTTGTTGTAAGTGCGAGGATCATTCGATGCATGAGTAAAGAGACAAACAATTGGTGTTTTATTCAATAAATCTAATGATTTATGCACTTAGTTTTCGACAATCCCCTGCTACAATTATACTTGTTCCACATTGCTTTAGTTTTTTTTATGTCAGCAACAAAGAATTTTATGTCTCGAAATCTGAGTCATTTTTGAATATTTGTTTTCACTTGTTCGTTGTTATGAAATCCTGACTCCACATAATGACTCTTTAAGGAGGCAAACAAAAAGGAGTCCGATAAAACGAGTGTTGAACTGTAAAAAGGAGACAGAACTTTCCAACCCCATTTTTTTATTTTTATTTTTTGACTACTTTTCAACTGATCAATTCATTCACTTGTAAAAATTTGTATGATTCATACAACTCTTGCCTGTTCCAACCGGGAGTAAATTTCACATAGTTTTACACCTTCAGAAACCCCAAAAATCTAATCAATGAACGATGTTTTTTAAAAATGCAAAATGAGAAATGCTTTTCAAGAAGACTTATTATTGTTGAATGAGTAATCGAGGTTTTATGTACTGAAATAGTTGTCAAATAGCTGTTTTAAAGTTTTAACCCTTCTATCAATGTTGGCTACTTGGATATCAGAGATAAGCAAATCTAAATGTTAAAAATGTGTCGAAACTTTTCTCCGCCCAAAACAAAATACAAAAGGCCTTTATATTCGGAAACTTCTTAAAATATAATAGAGAAGAATGTTTGATGCAGATGTAATGAAGAAATAGTGCAATGTGGAAAAATACAATTAGTACCTGATTACCCATATATGCAAAAGAGGTGAATTGATGTTAGGAATGCCAATTTATGATTTTGAAAGTACTTATTATATTTCTTATTTTTCGAACTACAGCCACTTTGTCCCTTCACTTATAAATATTTGCATAGGTAATTTGTGTATTCCTTCTTATTTAAAAAAAGATAAAAAGATTCGTCTCACCTAACACCCGACTCTTGTGCCAATATCCGTCTCGAATTTCCAGATAATCGCTGCGGCAATAATCACTCTTGAATATATCGAGGGACGTAATGTTTAGGACGATACGTTCGCCATGTGTGGCCGTAATCCTCCATTCGCAGCGTTCTCCATCGTTGGGCGGAGAATTATTTGGGTAGCTTGGTGATCCGAAGATACCACTATTCTCTTGAAACGTTCTGCCGCATTCTACAAAAATTCGATCTATTTAACTGGAACTATAAAAATAAATGGATAAAACTAAATAAAACTGGAACAACAAAATGGATAAAATTAAATTATATAGTCAAAAGACACTCGCACATATGTATTTATACAGTCGACAAAATTAAAAGCTTTAGTTTTGACAAATCCAGCTTAAATTTTGTTTCTGTTAGTGTATATTTTATACATATACTATTGATTAAGAGATATTTTGAATTATAAATTCTCTCCTGGAGATATTAATTTTCGTGACAAAATTGTAAAAGTATAAAGCAAGAGACACATTGGATACTAAAATTCTTACTATGACATTTATATAAAAGATTCGTTTGCGCGATGTCGCCCTCGCTCAATCGAATTCTTTGTCCGATTTCGGGCCTCTTTTTTCCATGAGATTCCATGGGTAATATTGTGTCTAAATAAGTGCCTTTCGAAAAGGTATTCTTTGCATAATGCATGATAGAGTCATAATCATAAGGCAGGCCAAGTGAATTCACTTCGTCTTCTGTCAATTTGTTGAAATTGTACTCTTGACCTGTGAAAAAAAAAAAAAATTTTTTTGTATTTCTCTCTCTCTCTCTCTCTCATGCAATATATACAGGGTGTAACTAAATAAAGATATATGAAGCACACTATTTGATGCAGGAATAAACTAAATCAAAAAGTCCTGAGCCATTTTTAATCTGAACTTATTTTTGACGCTATAAATTGTTAAAGTTTAATTGTAAAGCCAATTTGAAAACAGTGTAGGCGCTGTCTTAGTAGGCGTACTAAAGCCTTGTAGCCACGCGCTAATTGGTAAACTTTAATAATTTATAGCGCCAAAAATAAAGCTCAGATTAAAAATGGCTCAGGACTTTTCGATTTAATTTGTCATCCTGCACATGATGGTATCCTTCGTATATCTTTGATTAGTTGCATCCTGTATAATATATTCAGTATCTCGGAGCAAATTGAGATTATCACTCACCGCTCATGATGTTATCGCGGATGATTTGTACATGACGGTCGCGATCCGGTCGAGTGTGCTCGTGCCAAAATCCAACGACGTGGCCTAACTCGTGTACAACTATACCAAACTTATCGCAGTTTTTTCCAATGCTAATAGCTTGTGGTCCATTACCTCTTTTTCCAACGAAGGAACAACATCTGCCGAGAAAATTTTATTATATTTATTTTACTAAATGCCATACTGTATGATGAATAATAATGATGATGATGAATAAAAATAAAAAATAAAGATAAAGAATATATCACAACGTTGAACAAATAATTATTATTATCAGAAAATAATTATTATATCATCATAATTGAAAATTAAACAGTAGTTTACAGCTAAAAATTATTTTAAACCAGACAAAGTGTTTCTTATAGATTTTTGGATACCGTAAAATTTTTTTATTACCACTCACCCGCAAGGTCTTTCCGTAAATAGGATATAATTAGGATGCTCTCTGGACACTCTCTCCACAAATTTTACGCAAGTAAAATTTTCCCAATGTCTCATCGCTTGTTTGAATAGTGCTTTATGAGCGCCAGAAAAATTTCCATCTATCTCGTAAGGGATCACGCCGTGATCCCACACTCGTTCTTTCCTCGCGGTAGCCGCTCGGCGTATTCTGCTCAAAAGCGCGTGTTTTGTGCCGCGTTTGTTATTCGCGATGTATTTTGGCTTATGCTTCATATCGTAGAATTCGATAGAGCGGAGACGTCGATCGTGCGTAGAAATAATTTCATCCGATGTGTCCTCCTTAATAAAGTCGTGTCCTCGTCGTTCATTGCAACGACGGTGAAAACATCTTCCTAAAATTCTAAGAGTAACATATATATAGCAGTTTTTTTATTTATTTATACCAATACTTCTAAGCGCTATATTTTGTTTACAATTTATCAGGATTTGGTAATAACTATAATTAATAATTAAAAATTAAAAAAAGTTAAAAAATAAATTTTAACTTACAAGGAGAGGCTCCGGATTTGTCTCCTCCGATTTTAATATATAAAATATATGTTATAGTATCACCCTCCCACAAGTCACAGGTAAAGCCACTCGATGCAATTCTCAAGCATTTATGAGAAAAAAATTAATTTCCTTTCTTTCGATTAATATAAAAAATTTATTTTATATATATATATATATATATATATATATATATATATTTGTCCTCGAAATTCTTAATCAAATCCGGAACTGATTTCGAAAATGTCGATTTTATACAATGTACTCATTGTAAATTAATATTACGCTTTAAATGTTTTTATGATAATTATCATCCGAAACTATGTGAATCTTTTGAAGATTTTAAGAATTTTGAGAACGAATAGAAATATATATAAAAAATAAAATTTTTATATTAATCGAAAAAAAAGGAAATTAATTTTTTTCTATGAATGCTTGAGAATTGCATCGAGTGGCTTTACCTGTGACTTGTGGGAGGGTGATACTATAATATATATTTTATATATTAAAATCGGAGGAGATAAATTTGGAGCCTTCCCTTGTTAACTTAGTTAATTTAAAATGTATTAAGTATATAAAATTTTTTGTTATTTGTTTTTATAAATTTTAAAAGAATTAACAAATAAAATTCTAATTTAATATAAATAAATGTTTTTAAAAATTCTTAATGTTTTTAAAAAAATTAATATGTTAATTATTGTATCATTCAGATCGAGAATCTTTCTTTCTAAATAATTTTTAAGTTTAATATAAGAATATTTTTGTAAATTCTTTGTATTGAAAAAGACAGTTATACTATCAAAATGTTTACATGGTTTAATTTGTTTCTAGCATTATATAATTTATGTATTTAATAAATAATTATTTAACATCGTAAATATTCTAGCTCGTAAGTTGGCCTATTATCGACTAAATTATTTTAATTGTACACGAGCCTATTTCTTCTATTAATATTTAACTAAATTAATTTTATATAAGCAACTAAATTTAACTTAACTTAGTTTAAAAAAATCATTAACTTTCCCAACCCTGCAATTTATATTGTATGGAATATATACAGAGTATTCCGACATACTTGAACAAACTTCTAGAGTGTAATTTTTACGTCAAAATAAAAAAAAACAAATTTATACATACATTTTGCAAATGTAAAGAATTTTGCGAGAGAATGTCTCTTTCACGCATTCACACAAATACATGTATACGGTATCATTTATCTTGACCATACACAGACCAACATCTACATGCATAGCTGCAATATTTTATTTAATATATTGTGATTATTATTTTCTATTAAACAACCGTGTTGAAAATATTGATTGTAAATATAAGTGAAAAAAGCTTCATGATTGATAAAAACTGTTAAAAATTAAAAAAAATGTAAATAATATTAATAAAATTGCTTTTTATATTATAACTATATTATTTTAGTTTATATATTTTTTATTGTATGCGCTGTTTTTCTACATAAACGTGTGAAATATTCTCATTCACACGCACTCAAAGTGATAAATTCGTATATATATAATGTTGCAATTTTCATCTTTTTCTGTATTTCAAATTTTTTTTTCAAGATACCTCGCACATATTTACAACATAATGTTGCGCAAACAATATCGAGAATATGACGAATAAATTAGAACATCCGGCTGTATCCGATATTTGAAAGGATTTCTCTTCTTCGCGCCTGTTTCAAGGCTAATTATAAATCGCACGCACGCTTAACGATTCTTATTTCGCTCGTTTATTAGCACTAATTACTAAAGATGTAGACACAATAATTTATCTCCGTTACTCGAGTCTCTCTACTTTTCCAGCCAGCCAGCCAGCCAGCCCTAACTGATAGCATTTAGACAAGACATGTTTCTGAATCAGTAGGGCGTTGCAATAATTAATTAACATGTCTCGCATGTGAGCCACGTAAAAATATAATGTAAGCGCATTGTGAGAAGATGAGAAATTGCAATAGAGTGCGTTAATGAATCCAGTTTTGAGATATATATATTCACCATGCTTCCTCTATATAGTTCGTTGCGCCTACTACCGTTACTCCGAGGGCAATAATCTATTCCGTGGTTTTGACGTTTATACAACTATGTATGGTATATATTATAATACATATAGTGTATATTAATATATATATATATAATATTTATTATACCGTTTATTTTGATCTCCTTGGGATTATAAAGTGCTTTTTTTCGTAAAAAGCGCAACTTTTTACAATATTTTTAATTCTTTTTAACTTGGCCAGCAATTTCACATTTATAATCTTTTTATTTATATATATATATATTATTTTTATATATTTATTTATAAACCTTTTTTCTTTCCTCTTTTCCATCTTCCTTTTTTCCTCGGTTAATAATCACTTTCTCTTCTTTTACAATCCTTTGTCAAAAATCAATTAAGAGACTTATTGGAGTGTTTAAGATCGAATCGGATTCGAACTTGGGACCTCTCGTCTATCAGTTCACAACTTCCATGCGAGGCCATGTCACTCCTAGTATATTTACTATATATATACACATATATATATATATATATATATATATATGTATATGTAGTAAATATACTAGAAGAAAAATAATTAACTTATCTAACCCATATATATATATATATATATATATATATATATGGGTTGGATAAGTTAATTATTTTTAACGTAACTAAATTAATTTTATAAGCCATTACCTTTAACTTAACTCAGTTTTAAAAAAATAATTAACTTATTCAACCCATATATATATATATATATATATATATATATAAAACTTATTTAAAATATATATAATTTAATAAAAAAATATATATATAATTATATAATTATATAATAAAAAAATATATATATATATCCTTTAAAAAATATATATAATTTAAAAAAATATATATATATAAAATTAATTTAGGTACGTTAAAATTACTGAAGAAAAACTAACTCAGTTAAAAATTGAGTTAAAATTAACTTAAGTTTAATCAAAAGTTAATTTTTAACAATATTATTACAATAAATTAGAATGTCATAACAAATTCAAATTTAAACAAATTAAATAATTAACATTTTTTATTTTAATATTTAGTTACTTTTCGTTTATTTTTTTAATTTATGCAAAATAACAAACAACAAAGAAGTTTAGTTTATTCTACAGAAATGTATTTTTCTTGCAACTGTAATTATGAAAAACATAAAAACTATAATAATACTTTTATTTATTTTATAATACTTGTAAAAGTTATATATATATATATATATATATATATATATATATATCATATAATGATATTCTTATTCAAATTTAATCGTTATTATCAATTTTATCTAATGTTAAAAATTTTATTTAAAAAAATAATAGAATTCAGAGAGAAAATATTTTTAATTTAGAAAAAATTAATAAATAAATTTTAAAATAATTAGTTAAAGTTAAAAATAACTTATTTTAAATAAACTATGTTAAGTTAAAATTATTTTTTTATAGTTAACTTTCAATAATTAACTAGTTACTATTCAACCTTGCTATATACATATATATATATTTATATTATATTATATTATAATATGTATACTTAATATTGACTTTTGAAGATTTTTGTTACTGTTACCGAAGTATTAATGCGATGTTACTTAAATTTGTAATAATTTATATAATAATTTATAAACTTATATAATGCCTCGATAGATTTTTAAATTATTAAGCACTTTTTCTTTAAAATTTTTTTAAATAGTAGATAAGAGCAAATATAAAAGTTTAAAAAACACATTCGATCTCGTTATTTATTAAATATTATATTTTGGGTTTTGTAGTAAAGCTCCGTTTGTAGTGTGCTTTGTACACGTTATATATATGTATATCATATATAGTGTACTAATCCCCAATGGGGTGAAAACTCGAAGGGGTTGTGCTATACATATATATACATCGAGGATTGGGAACGTATACTGGATACGTAGATTAAACTTTGAAATAGACTTACGAAAGCGCGTATTTACGTCTTATATCCGATATACCGTGAAACATATGGTCCCATATAGCTATTCACGTCGAGGCTCTGGAGAATTCTACAAAGATGCTGGACCCGCGAGTCCGCGTTCGTGGAAGTTGTTAAAAAGGGATAAATGGAATCAGCGTATATAATGTATAATCTCTAAAAACTCACCTTTAAAAAAAGGTAAAAAAAAGCGACCAGTTAAGGGCACGCCATTAACAAAAATTATCCATTGCAAACCCATGTAGAATCCTATCCTTGCAAACCCATGTAGAATCCTATAAAAAATTAATCATTGCAAAACCCATGTAGAATCCTAGGCAAAATTAACCATTGCAAACCATGTAGAATTGTATTAAAAATTATCCATTGCAAACTTATGTAGAATCCTACATTGCAAACCCATGTACAATAGAATTGTATGAAAAATTATCGATTATAAATTCATGTACAATCGTAACAAAAGTAATGAAATAAAAAAAAAAATGCGCCAAGTGAAAGTAGAAACTTGTACCAGTGGAAAATTAAAGTTGCAGACATATATAGAGTCGTATAATGAATCAGTAAAAATTTAAATTTGCAAATGTAGAATCGTACCATAAAAAAATTTATCTTTTAAAAAAAAAGATAAACAAGATGCCAAGTCCATGCGCCATGTAAAAAAGAAATAAAAAAATTTTAGTTAAAAAAACTGGGCGCGC